TTTGGTTGGTTGCTTCTGGGCTTTGCTCAGCTGGCCAGCTGGCTTATGGCTGGACGATCTGGCGGTTAGCAGGCTGTAGGCCGCAGTGTCAAGGGGAGACCGGGCCATGTGTGTCTCATCATCCAGCAGGCTAGCCCTTGGCTTCTGCATGGCCTCTGGAGTTTTCAAGCCTCTGTTGGAGTCACATTTCCTACTGTTTTATTGGCCAAAGATAGTCGCAAGGGAACCCAGCTTCAAGGATGTGGAGAAAACCCCATCCCCTGATGGAAAGAGCCATAAACTTCTGTGCCCCATTTGTAACTCATCATACTTAGTCAATCTTGACAGCAGCCCTAAAGTGATAAGTACAATTATTAATGCTATTTTACAGATTAGGAAACAGTGGCATAAAGCAATCAGGCAAGGTCAAGGTCATATGGCTTGCAAGAAGTGGTTCCAGGATGCCAACTCAGGCTAGTCTGAAAACCTGCATGCTTCTAGTTTGCTCTCGATGAAGAGCTTAGGTCTGACGGGCCTCAGATAGCAGATCAGATCCCACCACTGTCACCCGTGCTCCTGGAACGTCCCAGACACTCTATAATCCCTATTTCCTTTCTTCCCTTCCCTTCCCAATCTGGGGTATAGGGGCTTCCTTCCTTTCCTGCCTTCCCTTCTTCCTCCCTCCCCCCGCCCCTTCCTCCCCAAATATGTGACCACCAATTGCATGTCAGATATTGTTTTAGGTGCTAGAGATACAACAGCAAACAAGATAGGTGAAGACCTTGCTTTTATGAGCCGAGGAAGAGAGAGAGAATGATAAAAAGCAAACGCAGTTCACCCTTGAACTACATGAGTTTGAACTGCGCAGATTTACTTATATATGGATTTTTTCTATAAATGCAGTACAGTACTATAAATATATTTTCTCTGCCTTATTTCCTTTTTTGTTTTTAAGTTGTTTATTTTTGAGAGAGAGAGAGAGAGAGAGAGATAGCGCTAGTAGGGTAGGTGCAGAGACAGGGACAGGATCCGAAGCAGGCCCTGCGCTGATAACAGAGTTCAGTGCGGGGCTCGAAACCACAAACTGAGATCATGACCTGAGCCAAAGTCAGATGCTTAAGCAACTGAGCCACCCAGGCCCCCCTCTTATGATTTTCTTAATAACATTTTCTTTTCTCAAACCTATTGTAAAAATATAGTATATAACATTTAATATTAACTATTTGTTAATTGACTGTTGCTATTGGTAAGGCTTTCAGTCAACAGTAGGTTAATAGTAGTTAAGGTGTTGGGGAATCAAAAGTTATATGCAGATTTTCTATGTGGGGGTTAGCATATTGTTCAAGAGTCCACTGTATGTAAGATTTCAGGTGGAGATAATGCTACAGAGAAGAATAATAGCAGTGCAAGGGATCTGAGTGTCTAAAGTCAGGGGACACAATTTATAAGGTTATGATTTGAGTCCAGAAACTTGACTTGTCTCATTTTCTTTTCTATAAAATAAGACTATTGGAGAAAAGAGTAGCCTTGGTTACTCCTAGAGAGAGAAATGGTGAGAGGGTAGGAGAAAGACCTTACACACTATAATCTCTTTTTTTTTTTTTTTAAGTGAGACTCTTCTAGCTCCAAGATTTGATGAATAATACAGTACAATATTATTTGTTGCCTGCAGCTTTTCTGAGTCCTTTTTAAGCCCAAAGAGCCATTAGAAAAGAAAATAGTTAAACAGAGGAGCGTACAGTTTCCTTCGCTTAACATGATCTTAGTTTCCCTCATTTAAACTGGGGGGAAATGTACACTTAGTAGATATTGAGGGCTGACTATTTCTGTCACAAAAGGATTTGGCTGTAGGATTTGGGGTTCAGTAAACTTGATTTATACTGAATTTTTAGGAGTGTATCAGTAAATAGGGGCTTACTGTCACCCGCAAGTTGTATGACCTCACTCAGAGGGGCACATAATGGAAAACGCAGATGTTTCATAATGATGCATTTCTGGCTTCTGTCAAGTCAAAATCCTGACTCTTAGCTGAATAACTTTTGGTAACTTAAGCTCCAGGCAGCAGTTTTTTCATCTGTAAAGTAGAAATATTGATCAGAGGCCCATTACCCACAATTTACCAACTGGCAAATGATCTGAAAATGAGGAATTTTTTCATAAATGTGGCTCAAAGTCATTTGGCAGCAAACCTGCCCTGAATCAAAATGATCCTGGCTTAGTATATTCACATTGTTGGGCAGGAGAAATATTAACACTTAATTATGGGATGTTACTCCCTAACAACTGGGGCTGTATATGCATCTTATTACCTGCTTTCTACAACACTAAAAATTCTGAATTCTGCCACACATCTGGCCATGAAGATTGAATGTAGGTGGGTCTGTAATATCTTCCTTAGAGCATTTTATAAGGGTAAAAAGCAATGTCTGTATTGTGCTTGGCATGTAGTATCTGCGCAATAGATGGTAGCTGTTAACCTTGTTGTTACATAAATTTGGCTCTGTTTGTGGGGTTTCTCCCTATTCTGAGCAATCTGTGTTAAAGTCTTAAGGAAAGCTGTCAGAAGGGTTGGTAGCTTGTGGAACACGCCTGAGGCTGGAGCCCCAGTCCTGGAAGTTTAGTCTTGCCCTTCTGGCCACGGCACGCTCTTCCTCTAAATGCCCTTCATCCCTGTTTTCTCTTACTTGAGAGTTCTCTGGGGTGCACTTCAGCTCAAACAGCAATGGAGAGCGTCAGGAGGCTCTAGGGACAGGCAGCAGTCCCTAGACTTTTTTTCCACCCTCCCCTGCCTGCCAACTCATGTGAGTCAAGCAGTGGAAATTTTTATAGTGCGTAGAGTTTTTTTCCAGCATTTAATATCTTCCTATATCTTCTTGATAATCTGATGGATTTACTGTTCAGAGCGAAGAACGGAAACAAATAGGTGACTGGGAAAAGAATGATGAGGGAAGGAGATAGGGAAGGGATTTATTGACTTTGCTCCTTTAAAGAGCAGAGGAGGTGTTGGTAGGAGGGGTAGTGTTCTTTAAGGTTGTGGCTCTTCAAAACCTGTCCAGCTTTTTAGTGGAACTCATGGCTAAAGAAATCAGCCCTCAAAGCCTTTAGGTATAGCTGAGGATTAAAACATTTGGCAGCACAGAGAAAGGCATTATTGTGGCCTGGTAACAACAGTTTATGTGAAGAGCTTGCCATGGAGCTCAGTAATAGCTGTTGTTCTGTTTTCTTTTGTTTTGTTGTGAAGCCTTGCCTCTCCATACTTGAGAGGGAAGGAGTTGGTGAATGGTTTTTAAATACTCTTAAGTGTATTCATTTATTCATCAAACCTTCACTGAGTATTTTTATATGCCAGACCCTGCACTAAATGATTTTGCTAATATATGGTGCTCAGTAAGTATTAATTTTTATTAAGAATTTAAAACATTTTTAATGTAATTTATTGTCATATCGGCTTACATACAACACCCAGTTCTCACCCCAACAGAAAAATGTTTAATGTTTATTTTTGAGAGAGAGAGAGAAACAGACAGAGAATGAGCAGGGGAGGGGCAGAGAGAGGAAGACACAGAAATCAAAGCAGACTTCAGGCTCTGAGCTGTCAGTACAGAGCCCCACGTGGAGGTCAAATCCACAAACTGCAAGATCACGACCTGAGCCGAAGGCAAAGACCTAACTAATTGAGCTACTCAGGTGCCCCTTTACTAATAATTTTTTTAATTGAACGTGGCAATGAAATGAAATTCTCACGACATTGTGGTTTTTTTCAAGGATTACTCTCTTGACAGTATGATATGCATCCATGATAGGGAATTTAGGAAATACACACATATAAAAAGAACATGGGTTCACTGAGGTTCATGGTTCACTGTTAACATTCCAAAGTGGTATATCAACCTGGTGATAGGCCATATGTATATTTTTAACCACTGTCCTGTTTGATATTTCAAATGTTTTCCTTCTCTTACAAAGACAGTGAGGAGATTGGGGTTGGGAGGACAGTATATGGGAACTCTGTACTTTCTACTCAATTCTCTTGTGAATGTAAAACAGCTCTAAAATCAAAGTCTCTGTAACACACTCAGCAATTCTTTCAGATATGCTTGCATTGAAAATAGGGCTTTTTTTCCCTGGAAAAACAATTCTCATTTTCCTTACGGAAGAGTAAAGTTCAGGAAGCAGCTCATTACAGCTCACTAATTTGAAAAAGAAAGAGGGTTAGAAATATTAAAAGTAATCGCTAGCTTTCCAGAGGTTAGCAGACTTCAACAGGTGTTCAAGAAACGCCAGAAGTGGACAGTAAAGTGGTAGAAACAGGTTTTATTCAGAAAAGCTTTAGGGGCAAAGAGACCCCAGTGTAGACTTGGGCTCAGTTTCTAATATAATAAGGAAAAGTGGGGATTTCCAGCCAACAATAGAGTGGAGGGGTCAGTGGATGGAAAGTGACTGAGATGAAACATCTGGAGTGAGGGGCATTCTAGCCAAACGACCTAACCTAACAGGATTCTTGCTGGAGGCAGGCCAGGGCGATGGGATGATGGGAGATGAGGAACCCTGCAGGACGGTCTAGGTGGTCAGTAGCAGGATTCTCGCTAAAATTGGCCGTTGCGGGGAGAGGCGCAGAAGTGCAAAGATGGAAGGATCAGAGAGTCCGACGAAAGTTTGGTCAAGGAGAGGTTCTGACATCTGGAGGAAGAGCCAACTTGTCAGAGTGGACTGGGTTCTGCCAGCCGCCAGTGTGTTCAGGGCACTAGGGGAAGACTGGGAGGAAGGTGGAGGTGGTGGAGGGGTCTCGAGCCTTGGCCTGCGGGGGCGGGGCTGACCTCCGGAGGGCGGTGGCCCCCAACTGGGTGGGCGGGGCGGGCGGAGGCCCCGAGGCTGGGCCAGGCGCTGGGCCAGGCGCTGGGCCAGATGCGTCTAGGCGGCGGGCCGGGTGGAGGGACAGCCCGCCCCGCCCCTCGGGGCCGCGCCTCCCAGATCGGCTGGAGTCTATGGAGGAAAACCTCTGCGCCGGCCCTGCGTTTTCCATGGCTGCAGCCGCCTGCGGCACCAAGGCCATGTCCCTGTTCAAGCGGACCTTGGTGCTGAGCCCCGCCGCGGCGCCCCGGGGTACGGGCGCGGGCTCCCCGCCGCGCGGCTGCCCCTTGCCTCCCGCCGCCTGGCCCTCCAAGGACTGGCCACGCGGAGAGGGTGCCTGCAGCCGGCTGCGTAGCCCGCCAGCGGCCAGCCTCCTGCCCCATTCCCACTCCTGCTCCTCCTCGGCGTCCCCCACCACCACCGTGTGTCTCCTCTGCCCGCAGGACTCGCTCAGCAGCAGCTTGAAAACTTGCTACAAGTATCTCAATCAGACTAGTCGCAGTTTCGCAGCTGTCATCGAGGCGCTGGATGGGGAAATGCGGTGAGTGGCCAGACAGCTCCTTTTTTCACTTGGGGAAAGAAGGCTTTTCCAGCGGACTTTGAGCCATTTGAAGCTACTTTCTGCCAGCCCCTGGCGTTGCAGTCTCCGCTTGTGGCTCAGCTAGAACGTGCCCCACTCGTGCCCCACTCGTGCCCCACCTGAGTGAAGGCAATGGTCTGTTTGGAACACCCCTGTATTTACTTTAGAATGCCCTTCCAGGCAGTTCGCCATCTAATAGTTTCCCTGTGGGCCCAGCTTCAGGGAAGCGGGGAGGAAGGGGGGGGGAGTAGATGGTGGTGTTTATTAACTTTTTTTAGTCCTGGCAGCTGAACCTGTCTCTGTAGGTCATGCATTTTTTTTTTCTTGGCTTCACTTAGGCTGCTTTGCAATTCTAGTATATGGGGCTAATTCTTCCCAAGTTGCTGCTGTGCAGACTGCATATGGAACCTAGACCAATTGCCTTTGTGTATGATTGTATTTATACTGAGAAGTTAGAGCAGCTTTTAAAGGCTTTCTTATCTGCAACATATTAGTTCCATGTAAACACTTGATCTGTTGATCTTTGTATGGTTGTTCAACAGTAGTTAAATGTAACTCGTTCTGGGAGTAGTTGTGACATCCAGCTGCTAGGTTTTTTATTTCGTGTTTTATAAATAAACCACTAAAGTCCATTGCTCCCATCTAAGAAAAGAAAGCTGAGATGTGTCCTTAAGTACGGAAGGCTTTGGCTCTCCTTTCAGAGTTCTTTAGAGGTAAGGCTATAGCCGGTTTGCATTAGTGACATGTTATTTTAAAATACTTGTCTTTGGATGTTTGTCTTTTATATTAATAGTTCTTCCATTTTTACAGCCATGCGGTATGCATATTTTATCTGGTCCTCCGAGCTCTGGACACCCTTGAAGATGACATGACCATCAGTGTAGAGAAGAAGGTCCCACTGTTACACAACTTCCACTCTTACCTTTATGAGCCAGACTGGCGGTACATGGAGAGCAAGGAGAAGGATCGACAAGTGCTAGAGGACTTCCCAACGGTAGCAGAATTACATATCTCTTCTGTGTATGGCTGTGTTGATAATTGATGACTTAGTTGTCGGCTAGCCCCCTTACCAGGAGAGAGCAGTGAAATAAGCAGTCTGACGACAGTGTCATGTACTGTGATGGGTAAGAACTCTGGTAGCTGAGACTCTGAAGCCAAACTGCCTGGGTTGGAATCCTACCTCTTCCACTTATTAACCACTGCTTAGTGATGTGGAGGCCTGTCTAAGCCTCCATTTCTTCATCTATAGAGATAATAATAATACCTACCTCACGTGAGATTTCTAAGAGGTAATCCAGGTTAGAATGGTGTTAGTTTCTGTTATTATTACCAGTATGTTGCTTGCAAGTCCCGTGTTTCTTTCTTCAGAAAGATACATTCCGAACCTAGTGTGTTAAGAGATGGCTTCTCAGGCTCGCTCACAAACCTGTTGCCGTGTAATACAGCCTAAGTATAGAGTGCTGCCTGCTGGCTTCTGGTACCCTTGACCGGGTAGTATGGATATGTTGTTCTTGATGGTTAGCCGCTACAGGGTAGGGAGCAGGCTCTTAGCAGCTGGGGTGAGGACAGACAAGCATGACGATGGCCTGCCACTTACGGCCTTTCTCTGTGCCTTGGTTTCCTCATTTGTAAAGTTAAGAGCTCTCAGGATTGCTAAGTTCATATGTGTAAAGTACTTGGGGGCACCTGGATGGCTCAGTTGACTGAGTGTCCAGCTCTTGGTTTCAGCTTAGGTCATGATCCCAGGGTCATGAGATGGAGCCCAGCATTGGGCTCCACGCTGGGGGTGGAGCCTGCTTGAGATTCTCTCCGTCTCTGTCTCTCTGTCTCTCCCTCTGCCCCTCTCTCCCACTCACACTCCTTCTCTAAAATAAAATAAATAAATGAAAATGAAGTACTTAGAAGATTGCTTGCTGCCTACTAAGTATTCGATAAATAGTAGGTGTTTAGTCCATTCTGTTGGAGTAAAGTGGCTTACAATTAAACTCTTGAGTTTTAGACAATTGGCAAGTTTATGTTACACATGTAATTAGGTCTTACTTTCCTGGAATTTGAATGTCTTATCACACAAATAAGTGCTTCTTTCTTACCTTATAAATAAAGGTTTGATTTAGCAAAGTCTCATGTTCTCTAATAGCCCAAAGAAGCCCTGAACCTGGGGCTAGAATTGCTAGAATCTGGGGCGAAGGATAGTCCTCACGTGGCTGTTGCTGTTGAAACAGGTCTGTATTCCTGAGTGGGGAGGCAAGGAATCCACCCATTACAGAAGAATGTTTGGGATACTCCTTCCTTGAGTGAGCAAGGGCTATTTGAGATTACTGAGAGTGTGCTTCACTGACAAAGACAAAAATAAAATACAGTACGATTCAAACCAAAAGTAAAAGTCTGTGAGGAATTACTAGGTGGAGCTGATAGAGTGCAGTACTACAATACAAGAGAGGAAAAAGAGCCCGCGAAGCATCATTAGGTGAGGAATTAGAGCTCTGTCCCAGAGAAGGGGCCATTGGTTTAGCTCTCCCAGGATACCTCTCACATGAGCAGAGGTTGGGTTTTCTCTGACTGGAAATCCACAGCCATTCACTGAGGAACTTGTGACACTGCTAATGTAGAGAAAGTGCTGCAGACAGAGTCCCAGAGCCTTTATTTATTTATTTATCTGTTTATTTAAATATTTATTTTTGAGAGAGAGAGGGAGACAAAGTGCAAGCAGGGGAGGGACAGAGAGAGAGAGAGAGAGAGAGAGAGAGAGAGAGAGACATGGAATCAGAAGCAGTCTCCAGGCTCTAAACTGTCAGCACAGAGTCTGATGTGGGACCCGAACCCGTGAACTCAAAAATCATGACCTGAGCTGAAGTCGGATGCTTAACCAACTGAGCCACCCAGGCACCATGGTCCCAGAGCCTTTATAATTGATGTGTATTCTCACTTTAAAAAGTTATATTCTAGCTAGAGCCTCCGAAACCAAAAAAACCTTCCAAACTACTTTCGACTTGAGTAGATTCATAACAAATCATTTCTAGTCATGGGACAAATGTCATAGGTATTTTAAAAATCAAGGTGGCCCTATCCACTCAGCAGAAATGGATATGAAAATGTGTGAATGCTAGAGTAATTTGTGGGGGAGAGCTGGTAAATGTTTAGATAATATTTCCAATATGCTTAGAAAACCGAAATCTTCTTCATAAATACTGCATTGCAACGAAAAAAACGACAGTTCAAGAAAATTTCAGCATAGGGGCACCTGAGTGGCTGTGCTGACAGCTAGCTCAGAGCCTGGAGCCTGTCTTTGGATTCTGTGTCTCCCTCTCTCTCTGACCCTCCCCTGCTCACGCTGTCTCTCTCTCTCTCTCTCTCTCTCTCTCAGAAATAAATAAAACATTAAAAATTTTTTAAAAAAGAAAACACTGATTTAAAAAAAAAAAAGAAAATTTCAGCATAAAATCTATCTTTTCCTGTGTTGGGGAAAAGGTGAGGGCTGACACACACTACTGTCCTGAAACAGAGACTAGCCCTGGAAGAGTAGATTGAAACAGAGTACAGGCCAGGTGTCACTATTTTCCCAGTGTTAACCCTTTATATCCTTATGACTGTGAAGTCTATGGAGCTAGGTGTTTTGTGAAAGTGTAACTTTGTTTTGTTTACTTTTTTTTTAAGTATATTTATTTTGAGAGCGCGAGAGTGAAGTAGGGGAGGGGCAGAGAAAGAGGGAGAGAGAGAGTCCCAAGAAGGCTCTGTGCTGACAGCACAGAGCTCAATGAGGGACTCAAACTCATGAACCACGAGATCATGATCTGAGCCAAAACCAAGAGTCAGGCACTTGACCGACTGAGCCACCCTTTGAACTGGAGGTCCTTTCAGCCTATCATTCAACTGAGATAGAAATGTATGGAAATTCACAGTGCCTTACTTTCTTAGGGAAAGGTTTGTACACATGCTGATCTGTCCCACCACCTCCTTGAGATATGATGCACAATTTGAAAGGTCAAGCAGTCTGGTTAGGTGGACAGTCAGCTTTGGGCGAGGCCTAAGGCAGAACAGATAACTTGGCCTCACTCACACAGTACTGCTCTTAGACAAGGCACACAGCCATTTCTTTTATTATGTTTTATTACATACTTTTGAGAGAGAAGAGGGTGTGGGGGAGGGGCAGAGAAAGAGGGAGACAGAGGATCTGAAGCAGGCTCTGAGCTGATAGAGAGCTGGATGCGGGGCTCAAACTCACAAACTGTGACGTCATGACCTGAACCAAAGTCGGACGCTTAACAGACTGAGCCACCCAAGTGCCAAGGGCCCTACTCTGAGGCAAAAAGACCGCTTCTCACTCTCAAAGGGGTGGGGGGTTCCGAGGGCCATGGGAGTGTGCCTGCCCAGAACTGATGCAGCTCCCCTTCTAGACTATGCTCTGCGTGTTTGGAATTCCCTGAGCCACCGCACCCCTAGGCCTCCTGGTGCTGGACAGAGTGCGCGCAGGCTGGGAGCTGGGGTCAGTGGCCTGCCCTGCTGCATTTCGGAACCAGGTCCTGAGGGAATTTTAAATTCACCCTCGAGTCCTTCAGGCTGTTGTGGAGGCACCTCTGTCCAGGCAGGAGAACAGAGCATCCTATTTTTCACAGGTTCCTAGTTTAACAAATGACTGATCATTTTAAGATCATTTTAATCCCACAGATTTTAGGCAAAAGCCGAGACAGAGAGTTCTAAGTGACCCCTTCCTCAATGTGTGTGCCTTGAGATTGAACCTGGTATTTTATGCTTTAGTAGTTGTTACTTGGTATCTTTTAAAGTCAGGCCTTCTAGAACTCTCATTGTATATTATGGATGAGATTAGAGCACATCTTTTTTTCCTGGTACTACTAGAAATTAGTCTTCGTGATAACAGAGTATTTTTAAATGATAATAGCAATAATAATATATACTTATTGAGCTGTGAATTAGTTACAAAGTATATTTCATTATTGATTTACTATTTATGATTTTATGTTAATGTAGTTTTAATATTTAATCACTGGATATTTTGCTGCCCTTTTGTTTTTATTTTTTATTATATTTTTTAATGTTTATTTTATTTTTGAGAGGGAGAGAGAGAGAAAATGCAAGCAGGGGAGGGGCAGAGAGAGGGAGACAGAGGATGTGAAGCAGGCTCTGTGCTTACAGTAGAGAGCCCAGTGTGGGGCTCGAACTCAATGAGGCGTGAGGTCCTGACCTGAGCTGAAGTCAGATGCTTAACTGACTGAGCCACCCAAACGCCCCCTTTACTGCCTTTTTAAAAATTGATTAAAAACAGGACTTTGCAAATAAGTGAAGGTAAAATCACCCAGTGCTTTGATCATGCCATCCTGAAATTTATAGGGAGTTTCTAGTATAGGTTAATAGAAGTCTCATGCTACCCTTGACCCCTACTTGGTGTTTGGCCTTCCTCCGTTATACTAGTAGATTCACCATGATATCCTTCCTTTATGTGCTTGAATCACCAGATAGTGACTCAGTCCTAGAAATCTGTAGTTGTGAAACAGTTACCTGGAGTGATAGTAAAAAGTCCTCATGGCTCAGGGCACTGGGATGGCTTAGTCGGTTGACCGTCTGAATTCCCCTAAGGTCATGATCTCCTAGTTCATGAGTTCAAGCCCCGCGTGGAACTCTGTGCTGACAGCACAGAGCCAGCTTCAAATCCTCTTACCTCCTCTCTTCACCCCTCCCCTGCTTGTGCCACCCCAGAAATGAATAAATATTTAAATAAAAATGTCCTTGTGGCTCATTTCACTCAGCAGAGCTTGCTGGTGCTCCTAGAGAGTATGTGAAAGAGGGTGCCAAGCACGGAGGAGCCCTCAGTGCTTTCCCTCCCTCAGGTGTCTGGGAAAACGTCGGGCTCTTCACTGTCACCTTTTTTTTTTCTAATGTTTATTTATTTTTGAGAGAGAGAGAGAGAGAGACAGTGCATGAGCAGGGAAGGGACAGAGAGAGAGGCAGACACAGAATATGAAATGGGCTCCAGGCTCTGAGTTGTCAGCACAAAACCCGACACGGGGCTTGAACTCAAACAGTGAGATCATGACCCGAGCCAAAGTCGGACCCTTAACCCACTGAGCCACCCGTGCGCCTTCCTAGATATTTTTGTTTTCATGTTTTGAATTCTATAATTAGATAATAATAAATCCCAAAAAGTTGAAGGGGATGGTTCACATTCAGCAGTGAAGTGTGTATTTTGATGTGCTTGATTTTAAGAATCTGAGCCACTCCTCCCCCACCTCATTGGCCTTTGGTCTCATAAACAGAATGACCGAGTCAAGGATCTGTTGACAGAATGGGGTCCAGGGAGATTCAGGGATTCAAATGCCCTTTGATAGAGTTGCTCATTTGTTTCAATCCACAATAGAATGATTTTTTGGCTTTGTCTTGGAGCAGCTATTCTGGAAAGAACAGTGTTCTCAAAAGATTGGATTGATTTTATGGACTTTTGGGAGTTTTTTTTTCCTTTTTAATGTTTATTTACTTTTGAGAGAGAGATAGAAAGAGCATCTGAGAGTGGGAGGGGTGCAGAGAAGCAGGGAGGCAGACAATCCAGTGTGGGCTCTGCTCTGTCAGCAGGGGAGCCTGATGCAGGGCTTGAACTCACAAACCCAGGGATCATGACCTGAGCTCAATGACTGAACCATTCAGGCGCCCCCGACTTACAGGAGTTTACCAGTTTATGTTGTTCAGAGTAATGCTAAGGTGTCTTAGGCTTCCGAATCCCTTCCGTGCTGTGCAGCCAGCTTGTTTTCCCTCAGGTCTTTACATATAGGTGTTTCTTGAGCACGTTTTCTAACCTTTCTGCAAACATGGACCAAGAAATTCTCACACTTTTGATGCTTAATAAAGTCTACTGTTTTCAGTATTGTGTGTTGACTCTTAATAGTTTGTAGCATTTTATAAAGAAGTTTCATGATGTTTTCCATATTGCGTTTTGATCATCTAGAAATACTTCTTTGAACTTAAATAGGACATTTGTATAATAGCAGTGAATTTTAAAAATATCAGTATGATTTCTACATTAAAGTTTGGGCTTATGGAAAAAGAATGTTGGGTAGCATGCCTCAGGTTGAGCTAAATTGAGTTGTTTGAGGAATTAAAATGTATAGCCTTCTAGAGGGGAGACACTATAACTTCATGATAGAAACTAGGAATTGATGACAGAGAATAGCTGGCTGATCTTAGTAAACTGTACAGGGGCATGAGTTTCTAGTCCTTTCCAAGGCTGTGCATCCCCAGTGCCTAGAACAATGCTTGTTATGGAGGAAGTGCTTGATACATGTTTGCAGGAAAGAGTCCCCTATCCCATGAGGTTTGTCTAAAATGGGGCATTCTTCCTAAAGTTCTTATGTTTATGCCTACTCTGTATTGAAGCATCTTATTTATTATATGTTGGGAAGATGAGTGTATTGTAAGATTTTGAATTTTCTTTTGAGTGTAGAAACCTTAGCATTTTAGACCCTTCTATTTTATTTTTATTTTATTTTATTATTATTTTTTTAATTTTTAGTGTGTGTTTATTTTTGAGAGACAGAGACAGCATGAGCAGGGGAGGGACAGAGAGAGAGGGAGACACAGAATCTGAAGTAGGCTCCAGGCTCTGAGCTGTCACCTCATGGGCTCAAACCCATAGACTGTGAGATCATGACCTGAGCTGAAGTTGGATACTTAACCGACTGAGCCAACTAGGTGACCCTAGACCCTTCTATTTTAATAATTATAAAATTTCTGAGTTTATTATTCAGTATGTAGAAAACTAGCATAACCTCGATGTTGGGCTTATAGATGAATCATTTGGAAGCCTTAATGAGTTTCACTCTTGCTTTGTTTTACAATCTATAGGTACCATGTTGGTTCCCAATGTGTATACATGTTTAATATTTTCTGGGTTTTTTTGTGTGATTTCTATTTCAGATCTCCCTCGAGTTTAGAAATCTGGCTGAGAAATATCAAACAGTGATTGCTGAGATTTGCCGGAAAATGGGATTTGGGATGGCGGAGTTTTTGGTTAAACAAGTGACGTCCGAACAGGAGTGGGACAAGGTTAGTGGTTACAAAGTGGTGTTGGTGTGTGGTACGTGAGACAGAGCCGAGGGCGCTCACTGTGCGCTTCCGAATGAGGGATAGAGTTGTCGACCCGTTCCAAGGTTTCTGCTTTTACCCATTCCAAGGTTCCAAGGTTTTTTTTAGTTTGAATAGCTCATCATAAACACTTAATATAGGAGCTTATCCTTGAATACCCAAACTAATCCATGCCCTGGGGGATGTTTATCATTAAGTTAGGCCAAAGTAGATAGAACTTGTCCCAGGGGTAAAGACGTTAAGCTTCTAAAAGTGTTTCTGACTCGCTGTGATATTTTATTTTATTTTATTTTATTTTGACTTATTTATTAAAAAAAATTTTTTTAATGTCTGTTTATCATTGAGAGACAGAGAGAGACAGAGCATGATCATGGAAAGGGTGTGAGGGGGGAGACACAGAATCCAAAGCAGGCTCTTGGCCCTGACCTGTTAGCACAGAGCCTGACTTAGGGCTTGAACTCACAAACTGTGAGATCATGACCTGAGCTGAAGTCAGATGCTCAACAGACTGAACCACCCAGGCGCCCCACGCTGTGATATTTTAGATAAATAGCCAAATTACTTCATGTAATATAAACATATTAGTGGTTTTCAAATCTTAAAAATATGTTTTTTGTATTTTCTTTTTTTCCATTTCTGAGTACATGTGTATGTGTACACAATGTAGTATCTGAATCATTTCTCCAGTTCCACTTAACACAAGATTACATTTATTTATTGTTTGTTTTGAGAGAGAGCATGAACAAGAGAGGGGCAAGGGAGAGAATCCCAAGCAGGCTCTGCGCTGATACCTGGAGGCTCGATCTTCTGAATTGTGGGGCTCAATCTCACGAACTGTGAGATCATGACCTGAGCCAAAATCAAGAGTCAGATGCTTCGCCGACTGAGTCACCCAAGTGCCTCTACACAAAATTACTTTTAAACTTGGTGCCAGCTCGACCCCATTTGTTTGGGAGAAGTAGGCATCACTTGAACTGGTACTAACTTTGGATCTTGGGTGTGTTGTGCTGAGGAGTGAGCACCTCTCCAATACCTTACCTTTTTCTCTCCCGTCATCTGCTTACAGAATTAACACAGTATGAGATGTTCCAAGTGTCTTGACCTCCCCCAATTCCTCTGGCGGTTATAAATGGTATCTGTGGGGATTAGCAGTGGGAGACCCCAGTGGATGAGGTTGTCTTCCTAAGGAGACAGGGTAGCTGGAAAGGGCTATGAGAGCAGATGACGTGGCAGATAAAGTTATAATGGCTTTTATTTGGCCTGAGTTTATTCCTGAGCAGCAGCTGAGTAGGATATTGGCCAGGGTAGGAGTAGGAGGCAGGGAAGGAGTGTTTATCTAGACCAAGTGACCTAATTGACTCTGGTGACTAAAGTAAATATCAGAATACTGGATAGAAGGAAGAAGTCTTGCCCATTTTCCATAGGCCTGGTGGTTGTGAGCCGCCTTCATCACCTCATTGGAGGCAAAGACATTTTAATCATCTGAATTGGGTATGTATGTATTTTGTATCTTTAATGGTATTTAGCTTAGGATCTCAGATGAGATACTCCTGCATACATATGCATTGGGTGAATGTAGGTCCAAAGTCTGGCATCCTAATCCTTCAGTCGTCAAAACTGCTGGCTTATGTTCTCCAGATGACCATGAGTGTGACTGGTGCTGGGGTAGCAATTGATCAATTTAAAGTTAAAGCTGAAACTCCTCCTGGCCAAAAATCATCACTGGTTAGTTGCGTGGTGACTTCCTTTTCTGCCCTGCAGATTCACACAAGGAACCTAATGATAGCTCGTTAAGTGCAAGTTCTGATTAGGTCACTACTTTTAATGATTCCCCCCTCTCCCTTCAGCTGTGGAGGAAGAGGACTACCTCTATTCTAGGAATATTATTTCTATCCAATGAACTGTTACCTTAAAGTATACTTTTCCTTGGACATCCCTATGCATGTACTAATGTTCTTTAATTTCCAGTAATTCTTTGGAAATTTCTTGGAGTTTCCCACAGCTCATTTCTGTCTAATTGTAGCATATCTTTACTCTTTATCCACATTCTTCCTTTCCTAGACCATATTTCAAGTGCATTTGTCTTGCTGTTTCATTGTGCTCCTTGGTTTGTCTCTGGCTTTGTGTTTCTTTCAACCCAAGACCCTCCTCTTTGGTCTTTCCCTAACTTTTACCCTTCCTAATTCCCTCCTCAGAGTGTGCCTCCCTTCTTTAACTGCCCTCCACTTCCTAAATTGTCTAATGGCCATTCATTTCATAAGAGTATTGCATTAAGTTTCTTGCAGTACTCTTTTCAGGAGAAGATAGCTTTAACAAGCCACTTTTATGGAAAAAATTCTTTGACAATTAAGAATGATGTTTACCAAGATCTCTTTGGAGGAGAGGCAGTTTCAGCCAAGTTGTTAGAGCCTACCTTTAAGCCAGACCACCTGGCTTTGAGTCGCTGGCCTCTGACTTCCCAGATGAGTGATCTTGGGCAATTAACTGGCTTCTTTTCTGCGCCAGCTTCCTAAAATGGTGGTGATAATACATGCCTCAGAGCACTGGGTGGCTCAGTCAGTTAAGTGTCTGACTTCAGCTTAAGTCATGATTTCACAGTTCGTGAGTTCAAGCCCCGCATTGGGCTCCCTGCTGTCAGCACAGAGCCTGCTTTGGATCTGCTGTCTCTTTCTCTCTCTGCCCCTCCCCTGCTCTTCTCTCAAAAATAAATAAGCATTAAAAATTTTTTAAATTACACATGCCTCATAAAGGTGTTTGGGAGGACTGAATATGCAGAGTGTTTAAAACCATGTCGAGAACATGGTGGTAGTGCTTTGTTCTTCTGTATAATGAAGATTTTGAGACACTGCCAGATCTCAAAGTGTCTTCAGGATTAAGCTCTACTTAGTATTCTGGCTTCTATTAGAATATTCATTATTCCCTTATTGCCTTCACTCTCCATTTTAGATCTCAAAAAGTTTACTAGTTCATTTTTTCAGTAACCTTGTATACATATTCACAGAAGTACAGAAAATACAGGTGAAAAAAATAAAAACATCACACCAGCCAGAGATCAGAGATCACTGTGGTTGAATCTTTTGTGCACATCCCTTTTGGATGTTTTTTATTCCTTACATGTCCATAGTGTATATTTGTGTTTTAATCAAAATGAGATGTACATACTGTTGGGGACCTGTTTTTGTTTTTGTTTTGTAGTTAATGATCTTTACCGTTTTCATTTTAGTAAATATTTATTAAAGTACTTTAAAAATAATCTTTTACAGTACTGTCACTATGTCGCTGGGCTGGTGGGAATTGGCCTTTCCCGTCTGTTCTCCGCCTCAGAGTTAGAGGACCCCCTGGTCGGTGAAGATATAGAGCGTGCCAATTCTATGGGCCTGTTTCTGCAGAAAACAAACATCATTCGTGATTACCTGGAAGACCAACGAGAAGGAAGGGAGTTTTGGCCTCAAGAGGTAACAGAGTTAGGGCATTTGGGAAAAATAGTTTCAAATACTTTCTGAAAACAAAACAAATCTTTTGGTTGCAAGTGATAGAAATGTGAATCAAGCTACCTTAGGGAACATAGGAGAATGTATAAAAGAGGTTAAGATTTAGTTTGCTTCAGTGTAGAATAGCTAAATCCAAGGTTCAGTCATATGTGTGTGTGTGGAGGGGTGCTCTGTCCCCTTTTTTCTATCTCTTAGACAGGCCTTTTCCAAGTGGTAGATATAACACTCCATGACTCATAACCTACTAGCTTAACAAAAAAGTCCTTAGGAAGGCCTGCTTGGTGGGGCTTGGTTCCTGTGCCCATCCCATAATCAGCTACTGTAGCCAGAGGGGTGAGTACTTTGGCCAGACCTGGATTATTTCTGCCCAACACACACAGATGGATTCCCCCCACCCGCCCCAGGAAGAAGGATTCTATGGCAGGAGGGAGGAAGATGCTAGATAGACAAAAACTACAGATGTTCATTATAAGAGACAAGAGTTCATCTTTGACTTCATTTAAAAAACAGATGGGGGGGCGGTGCCTGTGTGGCTCAGTCGGTTAAGCGTCTGACTTCAGCTCAGGTCATGATCTCGCGGTTCATGGGTTTGAGCCCCACGTCGGGCTCTGTGCTAACAGCTAGCTCACAGCCTGGAGCCTGCTTTGGATTCTGTATCTCCCTCTCTCTCTGACCCTCCCCTGCTCACGCTGCCTCTCTCTCTCTCTCAGAAATAAATAAAACATTTTAAAAAATTAAAAAAAAAAATAGATAGGGAAAGGAAAGGCTTGGACATTGATTTTATTCAGAAGGAAAGCTAGAAAATATATTTCCTTAATTCTTTTTTTAAATTTAAGTAATCTCTACACCCAATGTGGGGCTCAAACTCACGACCTCAAGATCAAGAGTCTTCTGATCGAGCCACCCAGGTGCCCCAGAAAGCTAGAAAATCTTATGACTATTTCCTGGTTTTATCCTAGCATTTGCCTGTTGCTTTCCATAAAATGGTTTCCAAAAACCAAGTGGTTTTAAAGTGGAAAAAAAGACAGCTGACAAAGTAGGGAGAATATTTGCAACTTACGCCACAAATAGAGTTAATATTCCTAATATAAAAATTGCTAAAAGTTAGGAAAAGTTAAGACTAATTACCCTATAGAAAAACAGACAGAGATGAGAACAGATCACAGAAAGAAAGATCATTAAACAGCTAAAAAGATGATCAATCTTATTCCTAAGAAAAATTCACATTAAAACTATCCTGGGCTCAGATGTCGTAGTTGGTCAAGCTTCCCAGGTGACTACTGTGCAGGCTGGGTTGAGAAGCAGCTCTTGACCGCCCTTCCTTTGACACCAGTCCTGAGAAGGGAACGGGTTCGTGTGAGGACCTGCAGTGAGTGAGTCAGCGGCCACTGGAAGGGACACCCCCATCTCCTGGAGCCCAGCCAGGGTCTGTCCACTGTACGACACTGCCTCTCTCACAGGCGCATCACCCAAGTCTCGTTCGTGAGCACCAGCTCTGCAGTCCTGTACACATTTCACTTCCCTCTTCTGTAAAATGGAATAGTTCATACCACAGGGAGGTGGTGTGTGTAAAATGAGATAAACTGCAGCCCAGGGTGCTTTAATGAAGGTCAGTTCAAATAGCTTACCCCAAAAATGAGATAACAGGATCCTGAGACACTGTTCTTGCATCGGACTGGCAGACAGTCATATTCTGATAAACCTGAAGCAAGATTGGGGAACCAGGCACTCTTGTGTGGCTGGTGAGCGTACGCTTGTACAGCCCTGAGGGCTGGCAGTTTGGCAAATGAGTCCTCTGGGAGCATGTTGATTCAGTGTCCTTTGTAGTAACAATTTATGAACAACCTGGATGTCCCTCTATACAGGACTGATTGAATGAGCTATGGTATATTGACCTGCTGGAGCACGAGAAGAACTGTACTACTCTGGAGTAATCTCCAGGCTCTATCATTACATGAAAAATGCAGGTGCATAATACCGTAGTTCTTTTTTGTTTTTTAGTTAGTTAACATACAGTGCAGTATTGGGTTCAAGAGTAGAATTCAGGGATTCATCACTTACACACAACACCCAGTGCTCATCCCAACAAGTGCCCTCCTCAGAGCCTATCACCGATCTAGCCCATCCCCCACCCACCTCCCTCCACTAACCCTCCAGTTTGTTCTCAATCATTAAGCGTCTCTTGTGGTTCGTTTCCTTTTTTTCTCCTTTTTCCCCTCCCTTACCCATGTGTTCATCTGTCTTGTTAAATTCCACATGTGAGTGCGATCATATGGTATTTGTCTCTAATTGGCTTATTTCAACAGCATAGTTTAAATGGAAGGATAAACCAAAACTAATAAAATGTTTTCAGTAATCGTGAGTAATATTTTTGTTGAAATACTGAAACTATGACAGAAACTTTGTAACATGAAGTAAATAGGCAATTGTGTTCTTATCAGTCTAGGAACCAAGGATTTCCAGTCTGAAATGAAAGATACAAATATGAAACAATAAAGTTAAGCAAAACCCCCATAATCCTGAACTGAATTGGAAATACCAATATGAACTCGTAATACAGAGTCTTTAAAAAAAAAAAAAAGTCTAGCTCTGTTTACCAACAATGACCAAACCAGTAGTAATATGTACCTCTGGTGTTCTAATTTGGTCTTTTAATACCATTTCCCAGTATAAGGAATAGTAGGGGCAGAAAATACATAAAAGGAGCTTGGAATATACTGTCATGCCAGGAAGTGGGAGCTATCAAAGTAAAAAAACAGTACAGGATAAAGAGGGACAGGATCCTATTTGAAGAGGCTTTCACTGGCCACACATGGAACAATTTGAGTATCAAAAAGAATAAAAATGGCAGTGGGTTAAAACACATCAAATGTGTTTAAATAAAAGTGAGCGTGCACCTCTTGATGAAAGAGACGTTGGTGTGTTCTTAATCAAGAGGCACATAATGTCTGACCTTTGCCCACTTTTGATGTTAGCAGTCATTATGAGGCTTCATGCCTAGTTCTGTTAATTTATTAGGGTTGCAAAAGTGTTTTTATCACAGCTTCATTGAGACACAGTTCACTTACTGTATACAGTTCATCCTTCTAAAGTTTTTAGTATGTTCAGAGTTGTGCAGCAATCACCACAATTAATTTTAAAATGTTGTCATTGGGGCGCCTGGGTGGCTTAGTCCGTTAAGCGTCCGACTTTCGCTTAGGTCATGATCTCGCGATTCGTGGGTTCAAGCCCCGCGTCGGTCTCTGTGCTGACTGCCGGCTCAGAGCCTGGAGCCTGTTTCAGAGTCTGTGTCTCCCTCTCTCTCTGACCCTCCCCTGCTCACGCTGTCTCTCTCTCTTTCTCTCCTAGAAATAAATAAAAATATTTTTAAAAAATAAATAAATAAAAATAAAACGTCGTCATTACCCCAGAAAGAAACCCCATGCCCTCTAGCAGTCACGATCTGTTTTCCCCTGATGCCCACTCCCCAGCCCTCAGCAACCAACCATCTTCTTTCTGTCTCTGTAGATTTGCTTGTTTTGGACCTTTCATGTAAATGGAATCATATATGTGACTGACTTCTTCCCCTTAGTGTAATACTTTTAGGGTTCATCCATGAGGTAGGATGTTATCAGTACATTAGTCCTTCTTATAGCCAAATAATATTCATTTGTATAGATCAGCCGCATTTTATTGGTTCATTTATCAGTTGAGGAATATTTAGGTTGTTTCCGCTTTTTGGCTATTTTTATTTTTGAGAGGGAAAGAGAGACAGAAAATCTGAAGTAGGCTCTGCACTGACAGCAGAGAGCCCCATGTGGGGGCTGGAGCTCATGAACCATGAGATCATGACCTGAGCTGAAGTCAGACGCTCAACCAGCTGAGCCACTCAGGCGCCCCCACTTTTTGGCTATTATTAATATGCTGTGAACGTTTATATACAGGTTTTGAGTGGACACGTGTTTCCATTTCTCTTGGATATATACCTAGGAGAGGAATTGCAGGTTCACACAGCTAGTAACCTTTGAGGAACTGCCAGAATGTTTTCCACAGTGATACTCTTGTACCACTCGTGTCAGCAGTATAGGAGGGTTCTAATTTCTCCATATCCTTACCAACAGTTGTTATCTTTTTTTATGTATGTGTATAACATCTTTTTTTTTTTTTTGGTAAAGTTTGCATAATGTACGATTTACAATTCAAACTATTTTTTAAATGTATAGTTCTGTACCCATTAAACAGTAGCTCCCTACTTCTCTATGTTATCTATCTTGTTTTATTATACCCCTCCTTGTGGGTGTGGAGTGGCATCTCATGTGGTTTTGGTACATAATCTCTGATAGCTAATGATGTGGAACATTTCATGTGACTGGCCATTTGTATATTTTCTTTGGAGAAATATCTATGCAGGTACTTTTTCTGAAAACTACTAAAATACTTTCAGATATTTTAATGGTATCGTTTGTGTTTATTATTGAATTCTAAGGGTTCTTTCTATGCTCTGAAGACAAGTCCCTTATTAGATACGTGACTTACAAATATTTTCTCCCAATCTGTGGGTTATCTTCTTCATTTCTTGATATCTTTTGGAGCACAAAATTTTTTTAATTTTGACGAGGTCCAGCTTATCTAGTTTCCTTTTTTGTTATTGTGCTTTTGGTGTCATATATAAGAAACCCAATATTGCCTAATATAAGGTCATGAGATTTATGCCTATATTTTCTTCTAAGAGTTTTATATTTTTAGCTCTTACATTGAGTGCTTTGATCCATTTTGAGTTAGTTTTTGTATGTGGTGTGAGGTAGAGGTCCAGCTTCATCATTTCGCGCAGATGTCCAGCTGTCCCAGTACTATTTGTTGAAAAGATTGTTCTTTCTCCCATTGAATTATTTTAGCACCCTGTTGAAAATCAGTTGACCCTGAATATGAGAGTTTATCTCAGGACTTTCAATTTTTTGCCATAAAGTAAGAACTTATTAATTCTATATCTGTGCCTTCCTTTATTAGCTGGGCTGATTTTATAGGAGATGCATCGTCTCATTTGCTATTTGCTTATTGAGTGGTACAGTTCAGGTACAGAAGGCAGTATATATATTTGATTCTTTTTCTTTACCCAGCTTTTAAGATAATTTTCTGTCACCCTCAGAAGGTGACCAAGTAGTTACTTTTTGCTATCATTATAAGGAACTCACAGGTTAAAACATATTGATTGGGTTTAATCTGTTGCAATTATTCTCACTCTGAAAGCTTAAAATTTCCCTCCTTTGCTCAGGAAGAGATTCAGGTTGGCTCTTGAGTCCTCTTGACCCTTAATAGTCTATGGTAGCTTCCTTGCCATTTGATATGTGAAGATGTTCTAAACTTACTTTGTGCATTTCCTGTCTAAGATCTGGACTCATCCATCTCTTCAAGAAGCCCAGGCAAGGCACCTGGGCTATTGGAAAAGAGTAGCCAACAGCACACTTGGGCAGGATAGTCATTGCTCTTGGGGTAGTCTGTGTGTGTGTGTGTGTGTGTGTGTGTGTGTGTTCGCACATGTGTGTGTTTAGTTTTATAGCTAAAATACCTTGTAATTTATATTGATAAATTTACAAATACCTTGTAAATTTGTATTGATATTTCCATTTCAAACTCAGGACAACAGGGTGGTTATATATCTCCTCCTCTGTATTATATCTCTACATCATTTCTTCCTCATTAAGATTCATAGTTCTCAGGGAAATAAGAGGTGCTAGAATTAGTACATGCCATAACTACTCATCTGCTTTTTTTCCACATTACAGATCTTGCAGTCTCTGAATAGTGATACTTATGCTACTACCACCAAATATGATTACTGAAAATAATTTGAAAAAATTGTTTTTGCGTATGCTCTCCTAATTCCCAGTTTTTTATGAGTTTATTTATGTCTGAATTGTCAGATCAGATAGCCATTACCACTGTAACATCTCCCCTTTCTCCTTTATTTTGTCTTGGTTTATGCTCACCACCAGTCTTTATGTTGATGTCTCTACCATTTTGGTTGTCTAGAGCTCGCACTCTGGTAGATAGGAAAGACCCATGATATAATAATTCCCCGTGTTTATACATACTGATGATAATTTGTGTCCTTGATATTTGAAAGTCAGATTTTTCTAGCTATAAAGTTTTTAGCTCACATTTTTGAGTACCTTAAATGTGTTACTCCCATTTTCTTCGGCTTTACAGACTGGCTGTTGAAAATCTAATAATAATTTTCTTTTCCTTATAAGTTGTGAGTTCTTTTTCTTTTCCTCAGTGCTCACTGCCTAGATGCATTATCACTGGAGAGGCCAAAAGGTGCTATCCTAATTCTGTCATCCTTTCTGCATCGATTAGCACGAATTTTGGATTTTGTAAAAATGGTAGTGATTGTGGCAGCAGCATGGTTTTAGGAGTTTTCCCAAATTCTCAAAAAGAGATAAAAGAACTCAACAAAAGAATTCAAACAAACATACCCAAACCCCGGCCCATGGATAAGCTGTACAGAGCATCCCCAGGAACACAAGTGGGTGCAGATGAGACCCCAACACTGCAGACAGACCCTGCGTGACGGAACAAGACAGGCCAAATGTCAATAGTTGTTGAGGCTGGTGGATGCATACATGGGGTTTGCTAAATGTTTTCTCCAAGTTCTGTAGAACGATCTAGTACCATTAATTTGAGCGTGTTTAGGTACAAATTAAGAATGGATAACAAATTTGACTTTCCATAGAATCTCCTAGTCCTTTTAGGCCAGTCATTTATTTGGGGGAGTGTGTAAAGTTACAATAAATGTTATTCTTTGGGAAGCTTAAGAGTTTTCAAAAATGGGGTGCCTGGGTGGCTCGGTTGTTAAGCATCCGACTGTTGATTTCAGCTAAAGTCACGATCTCATAGTTCCTGAGTTCAAGGCCCACGTCGGGCTCTGGGCTGACAATGTGGAGCCTGCTTGGAATTCTCTTTCTCCTTCTCTCTGCCCCTTTCCTGCTCTTACTTTCTCAAAATAAATAAACAAAATTTTTTTTTTTAATGCTAAAAAAATTGTTACCAAAGATGAAAATAGGTTATTTGCTAGCTTCAGAAACTACTTTTTTAAAAATTTTTAAAGTTTTTTGTTTTTTATTTGGAGAGAATATGAGCAGAGAAGAGTGGTGGGAGGAGAGAAAGAGAGAGAATTTCAAGCAGGTTCCATACTCAGCACAGGGCCCTATTGGGGACTCAGTCCATCATCCTGGGATCATGACCAGAGCTGAAATCAAGAGTTGGACGCTGAACTGACTGAGCCACCTAGGTGCCCCCAGGGACTCCTTTAAATAATATCATTAAAAATTGTCAAATCAGTCCCACTGTTGGAGTTGAAGATGTTATTTCACTTTTGAGTTACTAAGGTCCAAGGAGGTAATGTTCTCATAGTACAGACTCAGCTCATTTTCCTCAAATATGATTGTCTGGCAGCATTCTCAGAATAGGGAATGTGATGTTAATCACTAATTACTTGGAGACCTGACCATCTTCATTATGTTTAATGTTTAGCTTGTAGCACTCTTGTAGCTGAGTCTGTGTATATCTGGTTATGTTTTTCAGGAGTAGACTAATGTCTTGTGAATAACAGGAGTTTTCTTCATCTGAAGTCATTAAACTATTGCTTTAGTCCATGCTGTACTAATCATCCCAAAAGGACAATTTCCCAGAAACTTAACTGACTCCCAGGTTGTGATCAGACCCTGACTGTTTGTCGCAAATGGCCACTTCATGGAGCTTAAAACGGACTTGATCTTGGTGAAAGAGGAGTCCATGGCTAAGAAAAAAACTTTACTGTCCGTCACTGTTCTTATTCACAAAGATTCTTTCATGTTGCTTATACCTTCTTCCCTTATGCACATGCTGACTTCTTTTTAAGGTTTGGGGCAAGTATGTTAAGAAGTTGGGTGATTTTGCAAAGCCACAGAATATTGACTCGGCCGTGCAGTGCCTGAACGAACTTATAACCAACACACTGCACCACATCCCAGATGTCATCACTTACCTTTCAAGACTTAGAAACCAAAGTGTGTTTAACTTCTGCGCTATTCCACAGGTATGCAGAGTGGCTATTCTTGTTATATGGGAAAGGTGGAAGCTAAAGGGAGTGGTGTGCTGGTGCTGATGGAGGTGGAGAGAATACATTTTCTATTTTGGCTTGCTGTATTCGGGAATATGGTTCCTTAAAAAGATGACTCTGGTCTATTTGCTTTGGCTGGTGAAGAGGCAGGCAGTGTCTCACCATACATCCCCTTTGCTCCACGACCACCACACTCAGCGCAGCCTCACTAGATCCTTATTCTGACAGTAAAATCCAGAGCTTTGGCTTAGATGTATGGGGAGTGCTGGATAAAATATGTAGGTGACAGTGTTGTCATTACAAAGTCTTAAGTGCCTAGTTTATGCTGGGCTTTTCCTAGACTCAGGAGAACAGTACCTGGTCCTATGGACCTAGCCCCTCAGTACCCTAGGAGCTTACACTTTTTAAATGCCTTTACCAATTATTTCAGTTTTAACTCCAATAAATTAAAGTTCTAGGATTTAGCTGATTTGGAAACTCGATTTAATCTTTAAATGGCCAATCTTGAATGGTCGTTGGAACTAAAATCTGTATGCCTGACTTCCGTTTATTCTAGAAATAATACACCTTTGAGCTTGAGAACTATCCCTCCTTCCCATTTGTACCCTATCCCCTCCATGCTGCTTTTTCACGTATAATGGTTGTGTTTGTTGTCGGAAAAATAGGAAATTCTTTGTAGATAATATTTTTTTGAGATACATTTTTTGGCTCTATGACTCATTACTCTAGCATAGAAAATGTTGTATTGACTCCTGTTTGTTTTTTCCAAATAAAAAGGAGCTTTCGTGGTCAAACCAAAGAATCATTTAAGACTGCAAAGACCACTTGAGTCTGGGTGTTGTTGAGGAAGGGAGGAGAGGGAAAGGTACAAGTTTTGATATGCTTTCTTCATAGGTACTTTTTTTCTGGTTAGTTACATGTTAGCTCTTTGGCACTTCCTTATTCTATAGAGGATTTTTTTTTTTTACGTTTTCACAACGGCAATTGCTTATAGTACCATTCCTTTTTTTTATGAAGTGAAATGAATTAGCATTTTCTTTCCTCTCCCCCTCCTTATCTCTAGGTAATGGCCATTGCCACTTTGGCTGCCTGTTACAATAACCAGCAGGTATTCAAAGGCGTAGTGAAGATCCGAAAAGGACAAGCAGTAACTCTAATGATGGACGCCACGAATATGCCGGCTGTCAAAGCTATAATATACCAGTATATGGAAGAGGTGGGTTTCTATTTAACTACCTGGATCATTTCTAGCTGTTTGGGGGATTTAAATAATGTCATTATTTAAATAGTTCGTATTTGGACATTAGATGATCCTAACAACTCACTGTGTTATGGTATAAAGAGACAGGACAGGAGTTGGTCTCTTGTATGCGGAAATTTTGTATATGCACGGGTTGCTGACTGTGCAGACACAGTGAGAGGGGTACAAGGCAGCCAGCCTTAGGGTGGAGATCCTAAGCAGAATCATAGGCTTTGAGCTGGAAGCTCATGTTAGAGGCCAACCAGGATTTTTGTTTTATGGGTGAGGAGAATGAGGCTAAGGCTTTCATGTGAATGCCGTATCTGACCGAGAAGATCTGGGACCCCGGTCCATCCACACTGCCTCACATCCAATCCAGTACTTTCTACTACTTCATAGGCCTCAACTGAGAAACCACCACAGGGAATTTCAGCAAAGGAAAACCATCAAGTTGCAATGATTTCTAAATTTTCTTTCTTTTTAATAATCTTTTTAATGCTTTTGTTTATTTTTGAGAGAGAGTGAGACACATGGAGTGCAGGTAGGGGAGGGGCAGAGAGAGGAAGACACAGAATCCAAAGCAGGCTCCAGGCTCTGAGCTGTCAGCACAGAGCCCAACATGGGGCTCAAACCCACAAACTGTGAGATCCATGACCTGAGCTAAAGTCAGATGCTTAACTAACTGAGCCACCCAGGTACCCTGATTTCTAAAGTTTCTAATGCAGATCTCATTTCAAGTACCAAAATCATCCTATAAAACAAAACATACTTGTTCAAGTCAAATCTCCTTCTATGGAGGGTATAATACATGACTAGGTTCAAAAAAAAGAAAAACCCTTTTCTTAGAGGCTAAAACTCTATAATCACTAGGTCTTAGATCAGTGGTTTCTTTTTCGTTTTTTTTCTTTTTAATATTTATTTTTTTTGAGAGAGACAGAAACAGAGTGAGTGGGGGCAGGGGCTGAGAGAGAAAGACACACACAGAATCAGAAGCAGGCTCCAGGCTCTGAGCTGTCAGCACAGAGCCTCACGTGAGGCCCGAACCCACAAACCACAAGATCATGACCCAAGCTGAAGTTGGATGCCTAGATGCCTAACTGAGCCATCCAGGTACCTGAGCAGTGGTTCTTAATTAGAGATACTTTTGCACCTCCTTTCCTGCAGGGGACATTTGGCAATATCTGGAGACCTTTTTTTTCCTTTTCTTTTCTTTCTTTCTTTTTTTTTTTTGATTGTCAGTCTGGGGAGATGGGTGGCTACTGCCTTCTGGTGAGTGGAGGCCCTGAGATCCTTAGGTATGTCCTTACTGAAGATTGAAATACTACAGAAATACACGGAAACATAACAAGACCTTCCTCCCTCCTCTTCCCCAGAGAGAACTACTGTGCCTTTACAGGGATGTGATTTGTAATAGCAGTTTCCTCTAAATAGAAGTCTGCAAAAACAGTTATTTCCTCTGGTTTCTATGGCATATTGCACATTCTCCTTGGAGTTCTCCCTGTCTTCTATCTGACAAACTTTGGCCTTGCGCATTTCTACCAGAGGTACCTGTAGAAGGTGTAAGAGAAGACCAAAATTTTTTCTTAACCTGAAAATTAGTGATTGAAGTGTTAAGCCATTGACCAAAAAATTGCTGCTGATGAGACTGGGGACAGTCTTGTTCACCATAGAGCCAGTGCTTACTCTGAGCTTACTGTGTGCTGGCATAGCACCCAAAAAGGTGGGACTATTAATATCAAGGAAACTTGAGGCTGGAGCCATAATTTGGACCCAGATCTGGCTGACTTCAGACCCTAGGCTGTTCACTACAATTTTGAGGGGGTTGGATTATCCTTTCTAAACTGAGTAGTACTTTATGAGGCACTTTTTTTCCATTTTATATAAATTAGAATCCTTTTATGTACCATGTAGTTCAGAGAATATTTAGCTTTAATAGTGACCACCAATTTCAAAAAACCACTTTTTAAAAATGTAGCTAGTTCCATTACTATATTAAATTCAGATGCTATCTGGTATTTTCCTTAACCATTGGAATTAAATCCTAGCTGTGATTAACAGTTTGATTTGGGACATGGGTACACACACTGTGTACAGCTGACCCACCTCCCACTGCTTTTTATTAAAACACAGTCACACCCATTTGCTTATGTATTGTTTGACGTGGCCTCAAAATACAGTAGCAAAGTTGAGGAGCTACAGCAGAGGGTGGCTGAAAATATTTTCTGGCCCTTTAAGGAACACTGATTGAGGTCATCAGTTTTATTTATTTATTTATTTTTTAAATATTTTTATTTCTAGGAGAGAGAGGGAGAGAGAGACAGCGTGAGCAGGGGAAGGTCAGAGAGAGAGAGGGAGACACAGGCTCTGAAATAGGCTCCAGGCTCTGAGCTGGCAGTCAGCACAGAGCCTGACGCGGGGCTCGAACCCACGAACCGCGAGATCATGACCTAAGTGAAAGTCGGACGCTTAACCGACTAAGCCACCCAGGCGCCCCGAGGTCATCAGTTTTAAAGCTACTATGGGGAAACCCAACATAATTTGGAGGAAACATTAATACTTGAGTTGATTTGATTCAGAAAAATCTCTGAAGTCTTTCAAGTCCAAAGGAATAAAATGTGATCATGGTTTTAATGTCAGCATGAATGAAATTTCAACTTAAAACTTTTTGTTTGAAGACCACAAGTTGTCTATTTGCTGGTGTCCAGATATTATCCCTGATCCTACTTGTTCTCACTGACCAAGTCTGTCCTTTGCAGGAAGGCTGCAAGCCTTCTGTCAGTGTGGGACACCTGAGTGGCTCAGTTGGTCAAGCATATGAGTTTGGCTGAGGTCATGATCTCATGGCAGGTGAATTCGAGCCCTGCACTGGGCTCTGTGCTGGCAGTTCAGAGCCTGGAGCCTGCTTCACATTGTGTCTTCTTCTCGCTCTCTGCCCCTCCCCAGCTCGTGCTCTCTCTCTCTCAAAAAATAAACATTAAAAAAAAAAAGGAAGAGTTAGAGGGACACTCAAACCTTCCTGAGTAGGTAGGCACTGCTCCTCAGCGCCCTCTGTTGCCCTCGAGCTGCCTCAGCTTCAAACCAGTCTGGATACCTGTCAGCTGGCGAGCAGCTCAGCCAGCTATTTTGGGACAGGAACAAATACTCAGGCAAACAGCCAGAAGCTGTTGTTTCCTTCCATGCCAATGCTCATTCCCCGGCGAGGGCAACCTCTCTCAAGCGGGCACACCTTCCCATTTTACCCTGCGCTGCCGTTCCTCTAGAGTGTCGTCATGTTCTCCAAGCCCTTTTTGTGCACACAACTCAAAAGTGTGGCCCTCAGGCCAGCAGCATTGGCGGCCCCTGGGCACTAGCTAGAGCCTCACCCCTACTCAAACCCACTGACTCAGAGTCTGCCTTTACCAAGATCCCCAGGTGATTCCTGTGAACAGAAAGTTTGAAAAGCAAACTGCTGGGGGCGCCTGGGTAGCCTCATCGGTTGAGTGTCCGACTCTTGATTTCGGTTCAGGTCATGATCCCAGGGTTCTGAGATCGAGTCCTGTCTGCCTCACTGGTCCTGGATCCTGCTTAAGATTCTCTCTCCCCCTCTGTCCCTTCCCTGCTCATGTGCTCACTCACTGTCTGTCTCAAAACAAGAAAAGTGCTGCTGTACCTCTCCATCCTCTCCTCCTCAGCTGGCTCTGCCTTGAACCATGTGAGGAAGTGCAAGATTATATGTTGTGAACTCTCTCCACTTCTCTGTCCTCCGCTGCTGTGTGAGCCCAACCCCTGCATGCATGCGCCCCTGCTCCCGCCTCTCGCCCCCTCAAGATCTGCCTCCTCTTTATCTAAAGCCCCCTCCTTTCCAGGTGCCTCCTCTAGTTTGCACTATGGCCACTCAGCTTCAAAAAGTAAACAGGTCAATGCTTGGCTTGACTTTGCCCCTCTTTACTTCATCCCTTTCCTCCTCGTCTCCGAGGTAAGCTTCTCGAAAGATACATGTACTTCATGTTACTGATTCCCATTTTTTTCTCAATTCAACTTATGCTAGCTTTTGTTCCTACCTTGTCAGAACTTTTCTTTTTTTGTTTTTAAATATTTATTTTTGAGAGACAGAGACAGAGTGTGAGCGGGGAAGGGTCAGAGAGAGAGGGGGACACAGAATCTGAAGCAGGTTCCAGGCTCTGAGCTGTCAGCACAGAGCCCAAAGCAGAACTTGAACTCAAGAACAGCAAGATCATGGGGCAAGTAAGGGAATTCTGACTTTTTACTTTATTTCTGTATCTTGTTTTTATAAGCTTAACTCCATTATCTAATTTTTTTTGAAAAGAAAGGAAATTATAGTTTCATCCATTTTTCTGTTCTTTCTAGAGTTATTCTTGGTAGCATAATATTAGATATCAGATATCATTAGCATATTTCTGTAGGCTTTTTTTTTTTTTTTTTTTACAGTGAGCTCTCTGCCCATTGTGGGGCTTGAACTCATGACCCAGAGATCAAGAGTCACATGTTCTACTAATTGAGTCAGCCAGGCACCCCTGTGGGCATATTCATTTCTTTTGTCATACTAAATTACAACTGTGCCCTTTTGGTGGGGAGGTGGGAGGGTGGCAAGAATATAATTTATGTCTGGAAAAAATACCCATTATATGACTCAGTTGGTTAAGCATCCAACTGTGGCTCAGGTCATGGTCTCATGGGTCATGGGTTTGAGCCCCACATCGGGCTGTGCTGACAGCTCAGAACCTGGAGCCTGCTTCAGATTTTGTGTCTCCCTTGCTCTCTGTGCCTCTCCCCCACTTGTGCTCTCTCTGTCTTTCTTTCTCAAAAATAAACATTTAAGAAAAATTTTAAGTACCCATTATATAATGAAAATTTTGAGTAAAAAGCTATTTAAAAAACATGCCTGCTCTGTAATCTTCCTCTTCTTTGTCTCTGTCTGGGCTCACATCATTGTCTCTTCCCCCCTCAGTCATCTCTTAACTGCTTTGTCAGCTTAGTAAAGGCCTCCTGAGTGCCAGGCACAGTGCTGGGCTGGAGGTAGAAAGGTGAGTAAAATGTGGTGCTTTAGAGACTTGCAGTCTAGTGAGGGAGACGCATAGAAACAGGTGCATTCAGCGCTATGTGGTAAGGTAGGAGTCTGTGAAGGAGAGTGGCATGTGGCCCAACCTGGGGGTTCAAGGCAGGTTTTCTAAAAGACTAACACCTAAGACTTGGGCAACAGGTAAGAGTTAAGCCAGGTGAAGGAGTGTGACAGGGGCATTCCAGGCAGAGGGAATGGTGTGAGCAAAGAGGGGAACAGATGCATGCAGAGCATCACAAGTGTAAGACAACAGTGTCTTACAGTTGTAGAGTGAGAAGAGACCACAGGGTGGAGCAGCAGGTGAAGCTGGAGAGATTCAGTGGGCCCAGGTCAGGGGCACCCTCACGTTCCACATCGTGGAGCTCAGACCTTATTCAGCAGGTGGTAGCCACTGAAGGTGTCCGGCAGAGGTGTTTAGTTTCTTTGGTGACAATGTGGAGAGCAGGTGAGTGGACATCAGGACCCCGGAGAGTCAGGAGCCCAGGTTGGAGGTTGGTAATAGCTCAGATGAGAGGCTGCTGTAGTTGCAAGCATGGAGGTAAGGCCTAGACTCAGCAAATGTGTCAGGTTTGTGGAGGGGTAGGAGGGGTGAAGGCACCAGGAAGACTCAAGGATAGCTCTCTGGCGCCCTGCTTCTCCTCTCACTTGTCTTTTGCTAGCCTATTGCGCACACCACAGTTCCCATCTTGTTTGTCTGGCCGTGTTTGCCCGGTCTTTTCCAGTATCATTTCCCCTCTTCGGTGTTGCTCTCCTCCAGCCCAACAAACTGTGCCGACATTACCAGGCGCCACTGTGCCCCTGGCTCTGAGGCGTTGGGGATGCGGAGGTCAGGGAGCACCTGGGTGGCGGGCTTCCTTGCTCCCTAGGACAGGCTGTGGGGTTACACAGGCCTCGGTTGATATCCTGCTTTATTAGTGGAGTGACTAGGGGGTGATTCCTTTCATGTTCTCTGAGTCTGTTTCCTCATAATGGAAATGGGGACATAAAATACCTGTTTAGGGTTATTGTAAGAGGTAAACACAGAAGATGTTTATAAAGTTCCGAGGACTCAATAAAGTGGTGCTTACTGTTTTTTCCTCCTTTCTTTAACAGATTTATCATAGAATCCCCAGCTCAGACCCATCTTCTAGTAAAACAAGACAGATCATCTCCACCATCAGGACACAGAATCTTCCCAATTGTCAGCTGATCTCCCGAAGTCACTACTCCCCCATATACCTGTCATTTGTCATGCTCCTGGCTGCCCTGAGCTGGCAGTATCTGAGCACCCTGTCCCAGGTCACAGAGGACTATGTTCAGACTGGAGAGCACTGACTGGGGAAGAGTGGAATGGATTGACCTTTCCTTGAAGGAAGGATGTTGGTTACCCGCCCCCTTATTTCCCTCCTGCTCTGATCCCTAAGAGAATTCTGTGGACTTGGACCCTTAGAAACTGTGACCTGCAGTTGAGAAGATGAGGATAAACGGGAAGGATACCTCCCGCTTGGCAAGCAGGCACTTGTGGATGGGCTCATGTCTGCGCACGGCGGCCACAGCAAAGCGCCCCTCGCTGCAGGGCCGGGCAAGTGGTTGCGTATGCAGTTGCCTCGAGATCTTGTTTAGCTGAGTCCTGGCTAGAATTCTAATGGAATGTATTTAATTTGAAGCAACCTTGGAATACGTGTCCTAATAGAAAGTGAATTTTCTCGGTTTGGTTCTGATTTTTCTCCTCATTTTGTTTTCTCTTCAGTTGATTCGAATGTGGCAGGTGTCAGTGTTTGTAGGTCTAGGTGGTGGTCCCATGTTTCCCATGAATGCAGACTGTCTTCTGCACATGAACGCTAAGGATTCACTTCTGGGTGTTCTGGAATTGTTTCCTCATTTGAAAGGAGATTAGCTTTCACAGAGAAACTGCAGGATTGCCTTTGGGCCCACTGTAGAAGATTGGCCTCCAATTAAGGCTGACTTTTTGAGAAGACACCATATATAAAGATGTGTTTATAATAAAGAACTGAATTACTTTGCATTTGTCAAGGGCAGTTCACTTGAAAGCCTGGATGCGCATGGCAAACAGGAACCCAAGAGTTGGCGTTTAGTGGTCAAGGGCTGGGGTCCCGCTGCTGCCGCCGCAGAGCCAGCCGGAGCAGTGCCGAGAAAAAGGATCCAGGGGCCCAGCCCCAGCCCCACTGTGCCCACTGGAGGTGAGCGAGTGGCAGCATTGCCTCACTGCCCAGCCCGTAACCTGCATTAACTCTGCCAGCCTGCTGTACAGTCGGCCAAGTCTCTTAGCTGCAGCAGAAATTTGATCATGTCCAGGGGGCTTTTTGTGGTTCTTCTTATTGTGGTTGTGGTGGTGGTTGTTTTTAATCTCGTTTCTTTTTTTAAAAAAATTGTGTTTATACACTCAACAAACACAAAAGTGTTTTCAGGTGATGGGCTCAAAGCCAAATGTACTTAGCCTAATTCTTCTAGCATCGCTGTTTGCCTTCCTCTTTATCTCCACACAGTGGGGTTTGTGATGCGCTCTCACCCAGTGACTCACTGAGAATCTCAGCCTGCACCAGGGAGGACATGGCCCCTCTCTAGAGGTGTTTGAAAAAGCCTCTCAAGCTGAGCAGTCAGTGTTGTAGGGCATTAAAGTGCTTTCTAGAAGCCATTAATGCTCTCAGTGTACACAGTATATAGTCTACTCTGAAGCTGCTGTCCCTTGTGGATGGTGACTTCCTCGCCGAAGTTGAGGGTTTTCCCCAGCAATAATACTGGCCTCGCGTTGTTACACACATACCCACACTGAGTTTTTGTCCTGTGACTGCTGCCACCTCCTGACACAATGGCTTCATTTTGGCCCGTGGAAGCTGCACTTGATTGATTTGTTTGAGGCTTAGTCCCGGACACACTTGTCACCACGCTGAAGGCAAAGCCATTTGCCGCATAGAGGACAGACAGCTGTTAGCCACACTTGACAGTAATCTTCCAAGCAATTTAAACATCAGAACTTTGGCTTGAGAGTCCAGGGTAGGTTGTTATAAATTTGCGTGTTGAAATATCAGATTAGTTCTGCTAAATTCCCTGTAGAACACAGGACAACTTGGTGGAGAGTCTTGGTCTGAGGTGGATGTACCGGAAGATTTTCTCCTGGCTCAGTCATGATCTCTGCGACTTTCTGAGCTTCTGTAAGGTTTAGATGATCTCCTACGTACCCCCCAATTGTAAAGCTATGTAATTTTTACTGTCACTGACTTGTGCAAAGGTCTTCAAATACTTAGCATCTCTGGCCGACAGTCTACTTGATTTCTACTTGCAGTGCAGTATTTTTAGCTTTTCCTCGGAGAAGTATCTGACCCATCTGAATCTAAGGCTTGAAGTTTAAAAAACTCCATTACAACAGACCCGAGCCAGGAGCCTGCTCTCCCCATTTTGGGAGCTCCTAGAGCTGCAGGTAAAGCCTGCACACACGTGAGAGCCACCCCCCTTTGGGAAAGTGCTCGGAGCAATTAACTGGAAGCCCCATTCTATCGGAACCATTTCTCAGGGCCCTGGCATGTGCATTTGCTTTTGCACAGGGGAGGAGAGGGGGCTGGCCATTTGTTAATTATTCTCCGCAGTCTTGGAAGCAGAGCTCTATGGCTGTGGTTCTCAACTTCAGCATCAAGAGTTACCTGACGGTCCCAGATGGCTTAGGACCATTTGTCTCTCAGGTCTGGGGATGTACCCCAAAACTTGCATGTTAAACAAGTTCTCAGGTGATACAAGTACTGCTGCTTGGCTGGAGCTGTTTGAGAACCACTGCTCTACAGCCTTCTTTTTCTAACTTGAGTGAACATATTGAATTAGGCATCTTGTTAAATTGCAAATGCAGGCTGAGGTCTGGCCCAAATCCTGCATTTCTAACAAGTTAGGTGATGGCCATGCTTTTGAAGTGTAGCTATCTGATGCACACAAAGAGTGGAAAAGGTTCAACTATGTGCTTAATAAGTTCTAAGTCTAAACTAAAACCACGCCCCTCTCCAGGTAATGAATGAAAAGGCACGGTCACTTCCATCTCACAGGGGGATAGGCACCCCAGAAAAACATGGCTCCAATTGGACTGAGGTCACAGTATGGCCAGTGAGGTAATTTGAGGTTTATAGAAGTATTGACATTGATCCCAGTGCTAAATAGACATGGTTTTATTTTTTAACAAAGACTCCTCAAGCTGAGCCTGAGGGTGCTTTGCAGTTCATCTAGGTACTTCCTTTAGTGCAGCTCTTTTGCCTTCCAGGGGGAGGATGGGCTGCAGGTGGGCACGTGGTGGACAGGATGGAAAGGGGATGATTCAACTCCATCTGGAGAGCAGGTCGAATTTGTTAGAACTACATTGAGGTTATGAATGACTTCTGATTGCAATTTTAAGAATAAAGTGATTACAAAATTTGTGGCTTTAGTAGCCTTTGTTAAACACTTCTGAAGCGTGTTGGGTTTCACAAATTTTCACTTCAGTATTCACCAGGTGTAAGGGCTTATTTGATGCAGTTTTGGATTTTTTTTTTAAACGTTTATTCATTTTGAGAGTGTGCAAACCAGGGAGGGGCAGAGAGAGAATCCCATGCAGGCTCCACGCCATCAGTGCAGAGCCCAATGCAGAGCTCGATCCCCAGAAACACAGGATCGTGACCTGAGCCAAAACTAGAGAGCCAGAGGCTTAGCTGGCTCAGCTATCAAGGTGCCCCTCTGATTTCTAACTTCTCACATCAGGAGTCACACTTCCCATGCTTCTGGAGCGAGCCTACCTCTGGGGGAAAGAGAAGTCGGGTGTTGACAGCCAGTGGGATGGCTGCGGCTTCCTGTTCCCCTCAAGAACTGGGTGGCATTGTTGCTTAGGATTCTTAACCAGGACCATGCAAAGCCACAGCTCTTAACCAGCAGTGTAAATCAGAGACGTAGGGAACTGAGAATACGACACACAGGCTCTGCCTCTACCCCGTTCCAACACCGGAGGGGACACCAGGGAAAGCCAGCCCTCTACCAGGACACCTGGGTCATGGCATCACCAACACACCATGCTCGTGTGAATCCTCACGCAGGTCACCGCTGGCTTGTAACTGGTAAAACATGGGGGACACCGGTGTTCTTAGCTCTTTAAATAAGCAGGGGCAGGGCTTATCAGGGCTTGAGGCAGTTTAGGCGATGAATTTACAAAGCAGGGTGGATGAAAATGACAGGGACCTAAGGAGACAGAAACCCTGGATTGTAAGTGCGGCTGGGGCAGTGAGAAGTTAAAGTAGGCATGTATTTAGTTCCTCCCAACTGAGGCAAGAGACCTCCAGAAACAGGAAAATGTGATTCCGCAGAGTAAGGACAGACAGCAGCTCCAGGTCTATGGACAGTGGGATCCCCCCGGGAACACGAGACGTCACGTTAAGGGAGCAAACTTTTATTGGCACATTCCTTTCCTTGTTAAATTAACAGAGTGAAGCAGTGATTTGAAACCGTGAAAACTGGCTTCTCCCAGATGCATCCCACTGTGTCAGGCTGGCAGGCCTGTCCGGTGCCGACGCCCAGGTGTGTGGTAAGGAGACGGCCTGTGGAGCAGGCCAGCTCTTCCAAAGGCTACTCTTCTGTCCACATGACCAGCTGGGGTGCACACAAAAATAAAACTTCTATTTAAAAAGGAGCCATGCCATGGAGAAGACCAGAGAGGGGGCACGGCACTGTGAAGCTTGAGGGACGCGGGGGCCTTGGGAGAATGGCCTTCTCCCTCCAGAAAGCTGCCCCGCTGTTTTTCCTTCAGAACCTGTTTCCAATGCAGCAAGCTCCTGGCTCAGAAGCACTGCTGCGGGTGGGGACCTGTCCTGCGAGGACGTCCACTTCCTATTCCTGTGGAAAGCCCGCAGGCCCATGGGGGTGTCCGTCTCGCTCCCGTGTGCGTGGGCCCGGGGTTGGGGGGGCGGCGTGGAGGTGGCGGTCGCAGGCGTCGGAAAAGCAGGCACTACGCGCAGCTAGTCTAGGGGGGAGGCTCGCAGTGCCTGCAGCGGGCGCTGACATGGTCTAGGTGTGCACGGAGACAGCGGGTCCACCGAACGGGCCGGGGGGATGGCAGGCCTCGGAGGGGTCTCCTTGGAAGACAGTCTGATGGTAGACGCGAGGTTTGGCCCGGTCCTTCGGGCCCTGAAACCTCTTGTATCTCATCTGAACGCAAAGAATAAAAAACATTCCTCCCCTCCATCACGTCACCAGCCCACCTAGCTTAATTTAGGGAACAAATGCCCGGGGGCTGGCAAGACCAGTCCTGCCGCAGATCAGATCCTTTTCCAGTACTGCTCAGTGCATGGGATTCCAGCCACAATTTCCGATTCGATGCCACAGTGATCCCGTCCCCGGAGGATTTTAAAGAAGCCTGGAGAGCAAAAGTAGCATGCCTTTAAAGTGTACCTTGGGTTTTGAGGCTTGCCAGAGTACTCAGACCCACCCCAGAAACACCCAGGCGTGGCAGACCCCAACCCAGCCCCGAAGCAGTCACCAAATCACCGCTGAGGAGCCCTACTGCTGTCCACTGTTTGCCCAGGAGCCTGACGCCCCAGCACGAGGCCTCGGGACACCACCCAGCAGACCCCACATAAACCGGCACTGCGCCCGGTGCAATGGGGCAGCTGTGAGGGCGCCAGCGACGTGAAGCCGAGTCCTGGTCCATGCTGCCCTCTCAGGATCAGGGTCTCCCTTACGGCAAGGGAAGCCCCAGCTCGCTAGCTCCCGGAAGCCTGGACGGTCACAGCTGAGCCCCGGCCTAGAGTTAGGAGCTGTGTACCAGGTAGAGCAGAGAAGGAAAGAGCACCACACCGTCCTGGCTCACTACACCCTGTTAGCAGGAGGAGGGCCGCCACTCACCGTTGTCGCCCCAGTCAGTGTTCCAGGAGTTGCCAACCAGCCAGTAGGGGGTGCCATTCTCCACGCCCCAGCCCAGGATGCGGACAGCGTGGCCTCCCATCATTTCTCCGGTGACATGCTGGTACACGCCTAAGGGAAAGCCCATTCGGATGCAGACTGGGCCGATGCGCCCTTTCCCACAGCTTCCCTGCAACTCGGGCGGCTATCCTGTCCGGACAAATGGGGTCCAGAGGGCCCATCAAGCCCTCCTGAGAAACTGCCTGCCAACAGGGTTATATAAGAGGACTGGTGTTCCCTCAGAAGGCTCCAGCGGCTCCCACCATGTTCGGGAATTATTTAAATAGGTTTTTGAAAGCCCAAAATTCATACGTTGAATAAATATCAAAATGTGCTTGTTGGCTGCCTTTAAAACTAAAGTTATAAATTCTAATGTAAGGAAAAAATTTAATGTTAACAAACCAGTTATCTGTTCTACATACAGAGACTCCACGTGAGGACTTATTTGTCAAAAGAGTTCTGTAACACTGCCGCCCTGGGATACACCCAGAAGAGAAGGAGACAGGCTGGCTTGCTGGCAGTGAGCATCGGCGGATGAAGAAAGGTACAGGCTGAGGTGCTCATGGGCCTGTCGAGCAGGCGATCCCCTCACTGGTGAATCACTCTGTCCAACTGAAAACGCATCCTTTTATAATACGGGGGTGGGGACGGGGCTGTTAAACACTACCAGCTTTTAACTTTTCCCTTGCCGGACTCCTCTTCCTTTATCCAATGAGATTTCCTAAAAGTTGAGAGCTTTGAAGTTCTCCACCTGGCACAGTGTAAATGAGACAGAAGTGGTCGGCTAGACTGTTCATCTAGGATGGGGGGTTTCTAAGAGAGCTGTCCTGATTCCCACAGCCTTGCACACAGCCGGGTGCTTCCTGTCTCCTCAGCCATGGAACATGAGGCATGATCCGGGACGTGGCCAGGACAAAATGTTGTCTTCTTCCTTGATCAAGTCCTGGTGGTCCCCTGGAACCCAGACCTCCCCTGCCCCCGCTGCCATTGGGGGCCAACACATACCAGACTTGTACATCAAGAAGTCTGAATACACAGAGAAGGCCCCCTCCACGGGGCCATTTTTGTAGATCTCAGCCATAATCTCCTTCTCATCGTTGGACACGCTGTAGGAACTGCATCCTGGCAAATGAACCAGCAGAGTGGGGGTGAGGTGTGCTTCCCACGGTTCCCTCGGTCAACTATGCACTGATTTATAGGGGGATTCACCCAGCCTGGGGGTCAGGGAAGGCTTCCCCCGGGAGGAACGATGGAGTGGGACCCAGAAGCCGAGATGTGGGAGTGCAGAGCTCTGTGCCAGGAGAGGCAGTGAGCAAGAGACCCTGGAAGAAGGGTAAAGTGGTACCCAGGATACTAGGCCAGACAGATTACTCCCCTGTAAAGCGAGGGGTCTGGTCCCTTCCAACTCTGAGGGTCTGTGACTCTAAAACGACAGGAATCCTGAGGCCAAATTCAGGACGGAGACAGGCAGAAATGCAGTGTGCTGCTCCCTCTGACAAGAGAGTCATTCATGACCTTCCTTTCTCCATCCTGTGTTCCTGACTCAGGCTCACTTGCCCTGGCCTCTCCCTTCCTCTGGCCTGGGAAGGGTGTCAATAGGTCCCCAACCCAGGGTGCTGGGTAGCCCAGGCCCCACCTTACCGTAGTGCTTGTCTTCTTTGTAGGATGGGGTGTACCCGGGTTCACAGATCTTGCTGCACTTGGGGGTATCCCCCTCCCCTGTGCATGGGGGCCGGGAGCCATTCACGTGGTGCTCACAGGGAGGGATGGAGTAGGGTCTGCAACCTGGGGGGATCAAGTGGAAAGGAGGGTGTCAGCTGACAGCTTCTTCAGGAGCCCCTTGAAGCAGAGGGCAGAGCCGGGGCAACAGAACGGTAGGTCAGGTCTGCAGCACTCACTGCACTAACTCTGCCGCGGAGGGGACTGCCTTCTCCTTCTCCAGCCCAGTGCCCTCCGCCCTCCACCTTCACTATGCACGAGGAGCCCGTTACTATACGTGGCTTATGAAATCCATCTAACCAGGTATGGGCTGATGGCAGACACTCACCTACATGGGAGTCATAGAGGCCACCGGAAACCAGGCCTTGTTTTGTCCAGAAGTTCCAAGCTTCAGCAGGAAAGCCCCCATTACAGCTAAGAGAAGAGGCATTCATTGAATTCATTGTGAGAGAAGTTCTAGCCGCTCCCAGACCACTGCCTGGGGCCTCAGGGTCAATGGGCAACCCACCACTGCTTTCAGCACCTGGCCCAGCAGCTCTGCTGGGTCCCGGCCAATCCTGCTTCATCCTCCCTGGGCTTGTCACTTCTTCCAGGGAATCGCCATCACCATCCTCAACAAGACGGAACGACTCTGCTATTCCTGTCTACCCCAAACTAGGCTGTGTCCTTCCTGGAACACGGAATACACACTGCTATTCTCTGGCGTTTAATACAGAAAATGCTAAGGCCAAGGGCTGGCTTAGCTGGTGTGAGGTGAGGCCTCAGCACTGGTTTTTAAATTCCCAGGTATTTCTAACCTGCAGCCACATCTGAGAACCACATTGTAAAACCAAGGCCAGAGCTAGCAAAAAGGCAGGCTTCTTTCTCAAAGACAGAAAACAGACCCCAATGCGATTACATTTCCTTGAGCAAGAAGAGGGAACAAAGAGGCCAAAATCCAGGCATGAGCACTGAAATTTAAGCACAAATTCCGAGGCCATCTGTGTCGTGCCTGGACCCCACCACCCACACCCAGCGCTGTGGGGCCAGCCTGGTTTTAGGTGGCTCCCAGAAAGCGGCAATCACGACAGGCCTGCTTCTGGACTCCCCAGGTCCAAGCTGTCCCCAGCAAAGGACCATTCTCTGACCTGTTCTCAGGGAGCCCTCAGCCACCTTCCAGGGGGCCTCGGCCTGGGGTCCCGGCTCCCACAGTGGGAGGTGCTGTTTCACACTCACCCATCCCCACACTGGTCACCACAGCAGGTGAGCATGTCCTCGGCTGACACCTCCACATTGACGTGCCCATTGGTGAGGATGCAGATCCGGTCAGAAATGGCTTCCACGGCCCCAAATGCCTGCAGGAAAACAAGCCCTGCACAGGTGAGCCCCACCAGCCACCGCGTCAGAGGACCACAGAGGGCAGCTCAGACCCTGCTGACTTGTCTCTCCTAATGTCAGTGAGGGGCCTGAGGCTCACGGCAGTCTTTAAAATTAGGACACCCACCCGCCTCAAATCTCTGCCTAGGCACTCAGTTCACTTCTAAACGTGGTTTCTGTTATAAAACACAGCTCATACAAAGGACAGATACTGTATGATTTCACCAGCACGAGGGATCTAGACTGGTCAGAAAGAGAAAGAAGCGGGGTGGTTGCTGGGGGACAGGGAATGGAGGGTTCGTGTTTATTTTCCATTCTTATGAGGTGTCAAGAGTTGTACGGAAGGACCATGGTGACCGCATTCACAATAATGTGAATGTACTTAACGTCACTGAACCGTACACTTAAAAATGGCTCAGACAGGGGCGCCTGGGTAGCTCAGTCAGTTAAGCATCTGACTTCAGCTCAGATCATGATCTTGCGGTCTGGGAGTTTGAGCCCCGCGTTAGGCTCTGTACTAACAGCTCAGGGCCTGGAGCCTGCTTCAGGTTCTGTGTCTCCCTCTCTCCCTGCCCCTCCCCTGCTCACACTTTTGTCTCTCTCTCTCTCAAAAATAAATGAAATAAAAAATTTTTCTTAGTTAAAATAATGGCTAAGATAGCTCAGGTCAGGATCTCATGGTTTGTGGTTTCTGGCCCCATGTCGGGCTCTGTGCTGACAGCTCAGAGCCTAGAACCTGCTTTGGATGGTCTCTCTCTCTGCCCCTCCCCGGCTTGTGCTTGGTCTCTCAAAAATGAATAAACGTTAAAAAAGAATTTGCTGACCAAAAATGGGTAAGACGGTTAATAGACCACGTGAACTTTACCACAGTTAAACAAAATTAAGACAGCTCATTGATACAGAGGGGATCTCTCTCCACAAGGCACAGTAGGAATCAAAACTAATGGTATTTGCTGATGGCCTGGGATAGTGCGTCAAAGAGAAATAAAAACAGCATCATAGCACACACATGGGGCACACTGCACACAGGGTGCTTTGCACACCTATCTATTCTTCTACCACACATCTTCATGATTTTTACATTGACAGAAACAGAGGCTCAGCAAGTTCGTGTGACTGGCCTAGTCACGGCTGATCTGACAGCTGCCATCCCCCCACCCACTCCAGCCCCTCTCACCCAGCAGGAGCCACAGGAACCCTGGTCTCGGATCTCTTTGATGGTCGGGCAGTTAGGCCACTGTTCCCGGGCATCGAAGCTTTCGGGCAGAACCATGTCCTCGGCAAACGAAACTCTAGTAAAGGAAGGCCTCCGTGAAAAGCTCGCGTGTCACAGCCCACCCCCACCCCTGAGGAGCCAGGGCTGTGGGCCACCACCTGGAAGGGGAGGCACAGGGGAGACAAGCCCACGACAACAGCTGCAAGACTGTCCCCTGCGAATTTTGTAGAACCAAACCAGGAATCCTACAGCTCAACACAACTTCTCACTTCTCATGCTCCTTTCTAGTCTTACTTTCTGGGATATTTTTCAGGACTTTTGGCCACAAGGTCCACAAAACTGTGTTTGTACTCCCCTCAACACCCCACCCCCCCCACCCTGGGTCTGCCCGGAGTCCTCGCATCAATTTTAATATCTTCACCACCATACAAAGTCCCATAGCTTTTCCGTCCGCATTGTCAGAGATTTCTAATGCTTCCTATGAGAATAATGTCTACATGAAAACACCCACTGCAGAGTTCTCTAGAAAAAATGGAATATTAATGGAGATCATACGGCTTTTCTTAAATTATCCTTAAGCCATTCAAGACACACAGGCACGCAGAACCAGACCTGGGAGACACCTGCAGCAGAACAAAACACGGGCACTGGGGGCTGGGCCCTGTCAGGTAGCGCCCTTGGGGCTCTGGGGAGGGAGACCTGTGGGTGCCAAGGAGGCCTTCTCTCTTCCTCCTTCCCGCCGCACCCAACACAGAGCTGCGGTCCCCATGGCAGTGGTGCAGGTGCAGCAGAGTGCCCACCCCCCCGGGAGCAGGCACTCACCTCTGGGGCAGCTTGGGCCCACCCAGGAAGGTGCCGCACAGCCTCTTCAGGTAGCTGGGGTCCACGTGGTGGAAGTTGTGTCCAGCCTGGAAGAAAGCCCCACCCACAACAGTTAACAGTGTCTAGAGATGGGGGTGGATGGAAGTGTGCACGCTGCCCACCCGCAAGGCCTGACGAGGCCAGGGCTCCCACCCAGCTCAGCAGAGCAAGGGGCATTGGGGGCACTCCTGTAGAACAAATGTGTCCCCCCAGATTCATGATGAAGCCTGCCCCCTGATGTGATGGTGTCTGGAGGTGAGGCCTTTGGGAAATGATCAGGTCATGAGGGTGGAGACTTCGGAGTGGGATTCATGTCCTTATAAAGGAGACTTCAGAGAGCTGGCCTGCCCCTCCCACTAAGTGAAGACACAATGAGAAGTCACCCGTCTGGAACACAAGAGCACCCTCCCTAGAGCCCAACCACGCCCTGGTCCCCCGAGATTGTTCTTCCAGCCTCCAGAACCACAAGCTATACATTTCTACTTACAGGCCTCCCAGCCTGTGGGATTTTGTTATAGCAGCCTGAACGGACCAAGACAGGGACCCCAAGAGCAGGCCACGATCAGCCTAGAGTGAGCCACACGGGCAGCACGCAGCTCCCAGACCAGGGGGCGTCTTCTCTGATCTGCTACATTTGCCGCTGTCGAGAGACGGCTCTGCAGCCCTGAACATGGCTGGCTCCTCCCTTCTGTGTTCCTGCAGCCCTAGGCGTGCAGGCAGGGCAGGATCAAGGTGCTGCCACTGCTGGTGAGCACAAATGCCTACCACGGTGGGGCTCAGGCCTTCCCGATTGCGAGCACTGCCAAAGCTGGTTTCTCACCCAGTGCACCTCCATGCGCGTGTGCACACGCGCGTACACACACACACACACACACACACACACACACACACAGAGGGAAGGGGGCAGGTAGGCATGAACCTGAGTGGCCAGGATTCTCAATCAGCCCAACTGTCCAGGACATAGTGTCCTGTGGGCCACAGCTTCAGCCACCTCCCTTGCGAGTCAGAACGCACAGACCGATGCCCAAAAAGGGGCACGCACAGAAGTCCCCACAGCTCACCTTCCATGTAGTGTTACGTTTGTTAACATAGTTGACCAGCTCATCTGACAGGGGCTGGAAAGGCAGGCTGCTCTGGGCGTTGGTCAGCACCACCAGGCAGCCAAGAGTGGCCAGGAGCTGCCACATTTTGGAAGCTGGATCTCAGATTCACCTAAAAAAGAAAACACACGAGATGTCAGGACGCTTCTTTCAGTTCAAGTGCTTACCATACACAAGGGTGCCATCTCAGAGCATGGTTCCAGGGCCAGAAACCACCCAAGGGTCAAAACAGCCACGTTCTCTTCCCGGCTCTGCCATCTCTGCCCCTTTCTGTTCCTGTTTCCTCTCCTGGAAGGCCAGGGTGTGGTGGCAGCGCCCACGGGCTCCCAGGCCTCATCTCATCAAAATCCCAACCTACGCCCATGTCACAGGGCCATGCTGCAGACTGAACATTCGTGCCCCCCACCCCCCAAATCATGGTGAAATCCCAACCCCACTGTGGTGGGATTAGGAGGTGGAGCCTGTGGGAGGCGATCAGTCATGAGGATGGAGCCCTCGCGATGGAACTAGTTTCTTGTAAGACATGCCAAAGAGCTCCTCCCCCTTCGGCCCCGTGAGGACTCCGCAAGAAGCATGGTGACCTGGAAGAGTGCCCTCACCTAACCATCCTGGCACCCTGGCCTCAGGCATCCCCCCGTCATCCAGAACTGAGAAACACAGTTCCGATTAGAAGCCACCCAACGTGAAGCACTGTGTGGTAGCAGCCCATGGGCTAAGGCTGGCTGTGTACGCTTCTCCAGATGCCTGGGAGCTGGAAGAGAGAAAACCAAATGGCCGCGTTGCAGCCAGGCCCCTCTGCAGCTGCGCCCAGGTGACGCATGTGGCTTGGGTCTCGGGGGCTGTTCTCAAGCCGTGTCTGAGTCAGTGCTGTTCCCTGGGGGGCCTGTGGCCATCTTGGGAGCTGTGAGGATAGCTGCCCACCGACCTGCTGCCTGTCATAACCCCCGGGCCCCGGCCACTAGCAGGACCCACGACTCCTTCCATAACAACTCCATGACGCAGGTACTCAGGCTGAACTGACCTCATGCCCTCCCCCCTACTGCCAAGCCACCTCTCCATGGTCTGCAGAACCAAGTCTTAGAGACCTTTTTCCAAGTCAGTGCTCTGAAAGAGTACACAGCCTCTGAGATCAGGTCCCAAGTGGAGGCCCAACAAGATAAAGAAAATACAAAAGAAAACACACTTCATGAGCCACCTTCTGGACATAAAACAAGCAAAACACAAGCCAGCCCAGCCCAGTGCGTGCCAAACCCAGCAAAGCCAGGGAAGCCAGGCTGGTTTGGCCGGTGGCACGAATCCAGAGTCTTCTGGATTGTCCAGCCAGCCAAGGGCTCGGTTTCCCAGCTCAACGTGGCAGCCTCCAAGAAGGGAAACCATCCCATTACCACCACAGGCCGTCGACCTTGGACGGGCTTGAGAGTCAGGGGCCCAGCAGCTTCCTGCTCGGCCTCTGAATCAGCACTTAGGCAAGTGGCTCTAATGAAAGCAAGAAATGTTCCAGTGTCACGGCACCATGGGCCCTCTGAGATGCCCACGCAGCGGGGACGGGGGGTGGGGGTGGGGCAGAGGATTTCCTGTCCCCAACCTCCGGGGCTTCCAGAGTGAACCACCTCCTCCAGGGTCACGGGGTGACAGGAAGATGCACCGAACATGTCTGAAGGAAGGTTTAAACCTGACAGTGGCCTCAGCGACAACTCACCCTGAAGAACAGCTGTGTGATGGCGGCCAACGGTTCTGGAAAAGAGCGCTGATGGAGGCCTGCCTTCTGGGGCAGGTGGTACCTTATAAAGCCCTGGGTGACCCCTGCCCAGGGACAGTCAGGTCAACAAAACAGACCATTCAGGAGCACCTCCTACATGTGGGTGCTCAGAGAGTGCAGTACGGGTAGGTGAGGGAGAAGCATGTGTCGTAAGCATGCTCGCACGACTGCACCTCGGAAAAAATAAAGAGGCTGAATCTTTACACTTGGTTTCTTGCACACGAGAAGTGTTACATGGAACAAAGGTCTTGAATAAAAATGGAAACCGTATAAAGAAAATAAATACACTTTAAATAACGTAATATCGGAGTGAGATACTGAAGACTGACATAAAACAGAACCCTCAAGGGACGATGCTTGCTTACGTGCAAATAAGGCCACTCTTCTAGAAAACAAAACAAAAAGTGACCGACTACAAAATAGCATTTACATACATGCAAGGCTTCATTTCCTTAAAATGCAAGAGGCGCCTAAAAATCTAAAGGAAAACAGGAGTGCCTGGGTAGCTCAGTCAGTTGAGCATCTGACTCTTAGATATTGGCTCAGGTCATGATCTCACAGTTCAGGGGGTTCGAGCCCCCCGTCTGGCTCCACACAGGGATTCTGTCTCTCCCTCTCTCTGCCCCTCCCCTGCTCATGCTTACTCTCTCTCCCTTTCTCTGCTTCTGTCTCTCACAAAATAAAAAACTTAGTAAACTTAGGGAAAAAATCTGAAAAACAGAATAGAAAAATGGCAAAGGGGCACACACAATGAAGTTATTAGAAAAAGAACTACAAATGGCCAGCAAATATTAAAAGATGCTCCACCACAGGGAGGTACAGATAAAATTAAGGACTGGAAAAGGCATACAGCTGGACAATTCCTTGGGGCAGGAGGAGGGGGTTAGGCGTGGGGAAGCTGATGAACCCGGTGGAAGGTGCAGCCATAGAAAGGAGGACCCGTTTCTTTTTTAAAATTATTTCTTAATGTTAATTTATTTTTGAGAAAGAGAGAGACCATGAGCGAGAGAGGGACAGAGAGAGAGGGAGACAGAGAATCCAAGGCAGGCTCCAGGCTCTGAGCTGTCAGCACAAAGCCAGATGTGGGGCTCAAATTTATGAGCCATGAGATCATGACCTGAGCCAAAGTCAGATGCTTAAACAACAGAGCCACCCAGGGCACCCCCGACCGTCTCTATTAACTTGGTGATCTGCACACCCTTTGACTCAACAATTTGACGTTCAGAGATTTATTCTACCAGCCTCAAATTCACAGATACAGTTATACAGATTTGTAATACACAGAATATTCAGTACACAAGACCAGAAACAAAGCAAGTGTCTAATAACAGAGAAACTGTGAAGTTACAGTAAATGATTAATAGAATCCAAAGCAACCATTAAGATACGAACTAGCTGAAGCGAACCACATTGTACTAATAAGCAAATAAGCCCAAGATACACATAAGTGGAAAAGAGCAAAGAGCGGGTGAGTCACGATAAGTGTGAGACCATTAAGCAATGTACATGCCCGTTACCATTACCAAATGTAAAATATCAAGAAAAACATGAAAGCAGTATCTGCGGCAGGGAGATTTATTTTCCACTAACCTTTTTTTTTTTTTTTAAATTAAATGAACATATTATATTCAAAGGTTTGGTCTTTCAGGAAGGAGAGTAGTGGAGCTACCAAACCCCTGAGCCCAAATGCACTTCTAATTGATTCCCAGTCAAAAGTGAGGACTTCTCCCCGGTGACTTTCTGCTCAAAACAGGAACACCTTCTTTCCAGTGACTCACAGCGACGCTGGTGTTCACATGACCACATCAGGGACCCACATAACCTCCAAACTGTTAGGTAAATGTCTATGTCCTCACATGGTGAAAGGGGCAAGGAGCTGAGGTCTTTTTACATTTTTTAAAAGTTTATTTATTTTGAAATAAAGAGAGAGCGCTGATGAGCAAGCATGAGTGGGGTAGGGGCCAAAAGAAAGGGAGAGAGAGAATCACAAGCAGGTTTCATGCCAGCAGTGCAGAGCCTGATGCAGGGCTCAAACTCACAAACCACAAGATCATGACCTAGGCCAAAATCAAGAGACAGACACTTAACTGACTGAGGCGCCCCCGAGGTCTCTTTGAGAACTTCTGGGCAGAGAAGCAAAGCGGTCAGATTCCTTCCTTTGTCACGACGCCCTCTGAATTAGGTGGTACCTTCGCATTTCCCCAGACGTAAGACTCTGATGCACAAACACTAAAGCATACGCTCTGGGCACACGGGCATTCACACCCATGCCAGCAGGCTGAGGCCTGGCTGGCAAGCCCATCAGAATCACACCCTATTCTCGGCTTTCACCGTGACCTGTCAGGGGTGACAGGACTGTGGCTGGGTCCTGAGCCAGGCCCAGGGGGATGCTCCCAGGGCACTGTCACATAGGAGTGCCTCCAGGTGGCCCCCTGGGGCTTAGCCATCTGCTGAGTCGTTAAATCAAAAGTGGAGAATGGGAACAATTCCATGGTAGTTTGGACTTTACACAAGACTCCACTGGTTCTTCTGGTGACAGATAACACAGCCACCACCCATCTCCCAGACGGTTCTCAGTTCCTGCACTGACAGCTGCCATGGCCGTACCCAGGCCCAACTCCTTACTAAGGTCTGCCAGGCGCCCCCGAAGGGACACTTTGGTGCACTTGCCCTTTTCTTTTGGTTCCACAAGTCCTCTTGCAAATTTCTTGTCAACTTCATTCTCCCTACCTTGAGTCAGGAAGAACCAGGGGCCCCAGTGAACTTCAGAGAGGTGAGCCTGGAGGGCGGCAGCTCAGCTTGAATCAGACTCCTGGACCCATTAGGACTGAGCACTTGGGAAGCTCTTCCTTTCAGATCAGCACTCCAGGCACAGGGCTGTGGCATTTGGGAAAGTCTGGTTGAAGTGGTCAATAACTCTGGTAGCCTGTGGGCAGGAGGACCCTTGGGCTTGGAGTTGGGAGACCTGGATTCAGATCTTCCACTTACACAACTGTGCACCCTTGAGTCCCAATCTGCACTGAGTCTCAGTGTCACCACCTGTAAAATGGGGTTAATGACCATTCACTGCTCCAGGAGGAAATCAAGCGTGTCAAGAGGGTGGGCAGAGCCCCTGGTACAGTGCCTGCTCTATAATAAGATAGCAACAAAGGGCTGCTCACTTGCGCACACTCAATTCCCAGGTCCAACTCCCTTCCCGGCTTCCTTCCCTCCCTCTTCCCTTCTTTCCCCTGCTTCTAGCCTGTGCCAGAGAACTCCAGTTCACTCCAAATCCATCCACAATACCTCTCTATCACATTAATTCAGAAGAGTCTGAATTAAAATGAGGTTTTAACTTCAAAAGAACTCCAAAT